CATGTCTCTTGGAGATGCTCTTAAGCTGTCTCCAACAGGAGAGACCTAAATCCAAAATAGATCACCAACAGAATATATATAGTCTCCAACAGAGTACCTATATAAAAAGACCTATTTTGGATGTCAGGAGAGGTATAACCTAAATTTGAGTATCTTTTTTTTCTAGAGACCTATTTATAGAAAGGAATCTCTTTTAAGTCTTGTTATTAGAGAAGACAAAAAATAGATATCGAATTCTTTACCTATAGCGCTACCTAAATATGAAATGAGTGTCGTATTTTAGGTAGGGTTCGCTAGAGACGGTCTCAGGGAACGAAAGGCAGGCATCCACCATTCATTCAGATTCAGGTCAAACATGGTCAGCGGCCAGCACATTAAAACCGGCAATTCTATGCGTGAACCGATTGAGCGCACGCCTCCTGCGGCCGCTGCGCTTCTTCTCGAGCCTTTTCCCTGTGTACCATTAAAAAAGATGGCCTTTTTCTATAGGCCACTAAAAAGTTCGGACTTACCTAGGTGCCATGACACTTTATTTCTTTGCTCCCCAAGCCATTCCGTCCACGTTCTGTTTGGTTTTGACAGTTTCAAAGCCCTGACAGGTGGAACCGGACAGGAAATTTGTCCATCTTACCCTTTGAGATAGAGGGGCATATGAGGGAGAGGCCGTGTTGACCGACCTTGACCACCATCGTATTCTCACTCTTGCTTCTCTCTCGTTCTCTTCCCCAAACCCTAGCTGAGGCGGGCGGTGGTGGACGCGGAACCCTAGCGGCGGCGGCGGGTTGAGAAGAAGATCAATCCCTCGTGCTTCTGGCATCGAATGGGGTAGTCCTGCTTGGAGTTCACCGTGGATCCAGAGGATTGGCCGCGTATGGCGTTGAAGAAGGGTGCAGGCGAGCAACCGAACTTGCGAGCTGCGGGGTGAGTGTTATTCCCCCCTAGATTGCATGCTCCTTGGTATGGATCGATTAGGTCGGGTAGTTGTGAATGTGGATGCTTAGGGTCCGTCTTGTTGATTGTGGTGTTGTTCCCTGTTGTTTGCGTTCTCCTTGATTGCATGCTCCTTGTTGTTCATCTGTAGGATGGACGCAGACAATAGCTTCAACCTAGAAATGCGGATTGTTACTCCCAATTCGCGTGCTCGGTGGTTTTCTTTGAACAAAGTTGTGGATGCTGAGCTTACTAACTTCGAAGATCTGGTTCGTGATGTTGTTGACAAGTATCCACCCGATTTCGGTGAGGTAGCTCGACTGTTTTATTTCTGCAATCAGAGTAAGGTCAACGTTGAAGTAAGGAGTGACCAAGATATGCGTGAAATGTTTGCTAAAAGTAATGAATCAAAGTGTTGTTTCTTGACTGTTGCCTATAATAGGCCAACTAGTGAGCCTCAGATTTCTGATTGGGATTTTAGTCCCCCTGCCAACTCTGTTGAATCCCCATTCACTCCTTCAGTCCACTGTCCTACCAGAGCAGAAGCAAGCAATGCCTCCCAGAGTGCCACCCAGAGTGAATGTGCTGAACCTGAATATCTGGCTAACCCAAACCCATCCAATGAGCATGTGGGTGTTGATGAGGAAGGGTTGTACATTGACCTTGTCCCCCAACATCCCCCACCTACCAAACCTCACAGTCAAGTTTGCAGTAAGCAAAGGCAGCCTGAAAGTTCTGATGGTTCAGACAGTGATGACTCTGACGATGAATCCTTGTCTAATGATGATAGTGAAGTAGAGGACTTAGATGATATTATTAAAGATAAAGAACCTGAACAAATGCCTGATGCTGATTATGACAAGAAGGACCCTCCTATGGCTGTAGGCACTATTTATTCAGACATTCCTTCCTTTAAGCTGGCTTTAGCTACACATTCTGTGAAACATGAGTACCATTATAACATTGAGGCAAGTGACATAGGAAGGTATAGGGCAACCTGCACTGCCCAGAATGATGGCTGCCCGTGGAGAATCCATGCATCAACTCTGAAGGATGGTGTAACTGTTAAGGTACTATGTATGTACTTTTTGTAAATGCTGATAGTAATTTGGTTCTGTTATTACTTATTGCAAATGCATGCAGTAACTGTGGAATGTATATTTGTTTTGCAGATAAAGAGGAACCCATTTTCCTATCAGTGCCAGAGCACCAGGAGGCAAGGAGTCTGTGTAGGAGTGACTCAATTCTGGGTCTGTCATCAAGTAGTTGATTGGCTCAAGGAAGATGGGACTGTGGGTGCCACTGAACTAAAAGGAGATTGAAGGATGAGCACAAGATTGTGGTGCCCTACAAAAGAGTATACAAAGGTAGACTACTTGCCATGGATAAGATTTATGGCCCTTGGGACAAAAGTTTTGACAATCTTTTTAGATTTAAGGCCCAGATAGAGGAAACCAGTCCATAGGAAGAGGGGTTTAGGTTTAGGTTTGACAAAAGTTTGAAGGAAAGATTTTGCCCCATATTGTGCAGAAGCTAAAGGATGACAGTTACAATCTTTATATTGAAGTGATCACAAGCTCTCCTGAAGGTGTTGCAGAAATTTGTGCTAAGGGGGGTCTAGGTTTAGGTTTGTGGTGGACTTAAGAAATATGACCTGTTCCTGTAGAGTCTGGCAGGGGTCAGGAATACCCTGCAAGCATGCTATTGCCTACATCACCTCAATTCTAGGTGCAAGACTAGAAGATCATGTAGATGATTTCTTCTCTGTCCAGAAGTTCAAGGATGCCTATGCAGGCTCTATCCCATGCATTCCTGACAAGTCCATGTGGCCCAAAGCAACACATGGCTTCTTCATGCACCCTCCATGTCTCAAGTCCACTGGTGGTAGGAGGAAGAACAGGATGAAGTCAGCTGTTGAGGGAGGCAGTAAGAAGAAGTTAAAGAAGCATAAGTGTCCTATATGCCATGAGTTAGGCCACCACTGGTACACCTGCAAGAATGGGAACCCAGAAGACATTACTGTAATGGAGGCTGAAAGGTAAACATGTACTTTATTTTCATTTGTCCTATAAATTAAATACATGTACTAACTGTAAACTTGTCCTTTGCAGGGGTCTCCCAAAGAAAAGGCAGAAGAAAGTAGCAAGTTACAATACAGAAACTAGCCTTGTTGTGAAAACTCTTGCATCAGGCATGATTTTCCCACACAATGAGGCAGTGGCCAATGCTACACACCAGAAGAGGAAGAGGAAATCATCTTCTTCATCAAAGGGTCCAGCTACCAGTACATCAGCTACCAAGAAAAGTAAGGGCCCAGCTACCAGTACATCAACATGTCATACAAATTCCCAGACTAGTAGGTAAGCATGATCCAATTCTGTATTTGCACTTTTTGATGAAACTGTGTGCTTGACCTTTTCTGGTACTTGACTATAACAGGTCTAGAACTGGTTCCAATGACCCTGTTCCCCTCCAGTCTGTGTATCTTGCCCAATTCCGTGAAGAGACTGTGCAGACAGAACCAATAGAGGTTGTTTTGCCCCAGCCTTCACCATGGAAGAAGATAGGGTTGAAGAAGAAGCTTACACTAAAAAAGCTTTCAATTGTACCAACCAGCCCAGCCAGCCCAGCTTCTAATACCAGGAGCAAGAAGAAGGTAGGGTTTAAATGAAAACGACCTGTGTTTAGTTGTTATTTTGGTGATTTGGCTGCAAAAACTACTGCTGCTTTGCTATCACTTTATTTTGGCATGACTGTGATGTAAGATGAAACTGTGATATAAGATGAATGACTATGAGATGGAACTCTATTGGTTAGATGAAACTTTGTGAGATGTTATTTTTTTTAGATGTCAGAATTACTATGTTATCATAAATTAGATCATAACTCTGATGAAAACCATTCATTCATGCATCACTAGTCTTCATTCAAACACACACATACACAGTCTGCATACATAGGGCCTTACTTTTTCATGATAGCATACAAAGCAAGAAAGATGCACACAAACACCAGCTTTTCAATCCACCTAAGTTGCTGAAGAACCCTATCTTCCACTACTGCATTGCCTACAATTCTAGCCGACTGGGAATCTTCCTGGACGATGGCCAGAGGAGCTGCTGTAGAGATAGGAGCTGGTGCTACCACTGCCTGCAGAGGAATGACCTATAATGGAGCAGGTGCTTTAGGTGGGTGCACAACAGTGTCCTCCATTTCGTCCTCCCATTGATAAAACTGGCACCCTCCGGCCTATAAACAACAGCATCAACAGATTAGCACCAAACAGGGAATAAAGAACAACATATGAATGAATGAGCAAGGAAGAAAAACGAACTGCAAAGTACGGGCACTTGTGGAAAGCACGATTGTAGTTGTTCGTAGTCATTGATATGAATCGATTAGCTAGCACATTACAGTTGGGGCACATGACCCGTCTGGGCCTCCTCCCATAGCTGCTTGACGCTTGACACATGGCACTAGTAGCAAGGTAGCAGGAGAGACAAAAAGGAGAAGAATGAGTGGGAAGGAAGGGCTGAGGGCCTATTTATAGCACCAAACGGGATCTCTTTGGCGCCAAGCCCAGTGCCTTTGGCGCCAAAAAAACTTGCCCACGTCAGCCGTCTTGGCGCTCAAACGCTTGGTCAGTGAGTGGCACACAGGGCAAACGGCAATTTCACTCATCCTCCCTAGACTGAGGGCACTTCGATCTTTTTTTTCGTCGTTACACACCGTTACCAGCGAAAATGGACGGAATAACTTGGGGGCAAAGAAATAAAGTGTCATGACACCTAGATAAGTTCGAACTTTTTAGTGGCCTATAAAAAAAAAGTTATTTTTTTTAATGGTACAAATAGAAAAGGCTCCTTCTTCTCTTCCCCGCGGCGCCGACTCGCTCTCCTCTCTTTCTTTCTTTCTCGGAGACGACGGCTCGGATCCCTCTCCTCCACCTCCAGCCGTTGTTGGTGTCGCCGCCGCTCGATTGTCTCCGCCTGAATACCCCCCCTGCCCCCTAAGGCCTGACCTTGAAAGCCTCGCCTCTCGATCCCGGCGGCGGCGGAGAGGGAGGGGCGATGCCGAAGCGGACGACGCACACGTACTCGAGCGAGGATGCACTGCCGGAGGGCCCCGAGTCCGACCTCTTCGTCTACTACTGCAAGCACTGCGCCTCACACGTCCTCATCACCGGTCAGCTCCTCGTCCCCACTCGCTTAATTTTCCCCAGATCTGGTAGTCTGCTAGGAATTAAGGGAGGCTGGGTTCTTAAATTCAAGCGGAAGAATCAGCTTTGAACTGTTCAAGGAGGGGGTAGTCTTTTATATCTAGGAAAATTTTGGCTACCAGTTCCAGACCACACGACAACATTTCTTTGCATACTTCAATTTTTCGTAGTTTGTTTTCTAGCTTTGGAGGTTCTGTAACACTACGCTACGTTAGTCTGCATCTAGTGTACGACGTATTGTACAAATGTAATTATGTCAGTGAGGGAGAGAAACAAATCATGCAAATCTAATTTACAGCTGGCTGATTAATACTTTCATCAAATCAAATAGGCTAAAAGCTAAAAGTAGACAAAATTTAGTAAAATCTCATTTTCCAAGTTGATGCAATACATTTTTAAAGTTTATGCACCATCATCATCAGCAGATTTCTCTTAATTTCTTGTCACGAGGAATTGCTACTGCTTTTGTAGGGGAAGTAGTTTAAACGATTCAAGAATGAAAATTTGTGTATATTCAATTCTGATATGTTTGTTCTGAAGATACCCAATTGCAGAAAATGCCCAAGCGAAAGACTGACAGAGCACATGTTTTAGACAAGGCTAAGCATCTTTCAAGGCTAAATGTGAAGGAGTCAGGAAAAGTAATGTTGAAACGGTATAATAATCATCCCTCATAAATCTTACTGGAGTACTTCACCTCTACTTATATTGTAACTATGTTCTTATAATCAAATCTAATGTCTTGTGTTTGTATGTTCTTCTGTAAACTCTAAACGCTTGTGAATGTCTTAAGTTTGTCAGATAGTATGTAACTAAGAAATTGGGTGCTATTTTGGCTACATGTGTGCACCGTTTTCTTCTAGGGGAAACAAATCTCCTTGTGGCCTCATCAATTAAGTGTGTTTACAAATTTTTCAATAGTATATAGCAGGATTATTATACAATAAGGGAATTATTGAATTGTGTTTATATAACATGATCTGCAATCATATGCATACTCCTTTGAAATAACCCACCTCAGGCCTTGTTTGGCTACACTCTAATTCAATGTATTGGGATGGATTGTAGTTCAGCCGAACAAGCCTTCAGGGTTATTATGCAAAGTGAATACTGAATAGTGATTACCAGGTTATACTTCAGATTGTGGTGATCATGTAATTGTATATTTGATGCAGTGGTGAAGGAAAGCTTGAAAAGCAGTTCCGCATGAGCTGTGTGGGATGTGACCTTTTTGTTTGTTACCGATCAGAAGAGGATCTGGAGGTTGCCCCTTTCATATATGTTGTAGACGGAGCACTGAGTTCAGTTGCAGCTGAGACAAATCCACATGTATATACCGCATTGACAGAAAGTCCTTTGCTAAATTCAGCCTTTTTGTATTTTCTAGGCCTAATGATCGTGAAAACTGTAGGATGCTCCTGTACCTCCTTGCATCACACAACTGGAAGGTGGACTTGTCCAAGTAGCCATTGAAGTGGAAGACCGGGCACAACGTTCAGCAATAACAAGTATGCATCTTTAGCAATGTAGTAAGCTATTTTTTGAAACTACAACATGCAATGTTTATGATGAAAAATTGTGCATGGATGCACTGACAGTGTCATGTGAAACATAGTAGATTGGACATCAGTGTACACTATTTCTTTCAGTTCACTAGCGCATACAATGTGTTGACAGAATTTAGTGTACTTTCAGGAGTGAACGCTGACGACGTTCGAGTAACAGTAGCTGCCCCTGCTGCTCGAGGGGAAGCTAACAGTGAGTTACTAGAATTTATGGGCAAGGTGATTTTCTTCAATGGCACTCCTAATTTTATTGTGTTTTTAAATGTATCTGTTATTGTGTACTTTGAGCCTTGTAAAAAGTAATATTATGAATGATCCCGCGAGTAAAAGGTAAATGTCATCACAATATGCATGCAATAAGTATTACCTTTGATGAAAAATGTCTTTGTGAATCTATGTGCAAATTATGGAAAGAAGTATGCCTTTGGTTGTAAATATATATCAATTTAGTTGACGATCTAAAATCTGAGACCGCCATTGTCCAATAGGGAACTTATTTATAACAGTTTCAGTTTTCAACCTTGTTATGTGAAGATGTATTCCCATGCTGATGGCTTGTGAAATCAGGTTCTTGGCCTAAGATTGACTCAGATGACCCTTCAAAGAGGATGGAATAACAAATCGAAGCTTCTTATCGTGAGTTCTCACTTCTTACTCCTAATTAGTATCGAATTCTGATGCCCTGAACTGAATCCTATATTAAATTTCCCCATGTATTATACTATTTTTTCTCTTCTAACAATACACTCGGACTTTGCTGTAAGGTTGAGGATTTGTCTGCACGGCAAGTGTATGAGAAGCTCCTAGAAGCTGTACAACCTTAGGAACCCTAGCGATGGAGCAATGTGGTATGCGTTTGGATATTCTCTATTGAGGGCACAGGAGGTGGTTTTCCATTCATTGTGCAAGAGGAGCTGAACGTGCTGAAACAAGGTCGAAACATGGCTGAAATGTAACCAGACTCGACCTGAGCAATTGGCCAATCTGGCAGTATCCAATTCATTGTTTCTGTTGTGAGAATCTTCTGATCTGAAGGGATCGTTTGTCATTTCCAAATTCTGACCCAGACTCTTCTTCTTGTGGCCTCGTGTGCTCGTGTTATTTATTTGCAAAATAAATAAGTATTTAAATTTGGTGAGTGCTCACTAGAATTCTTCCTGTAATCCTAAAAATCCAAAAAAAAAGAGAGGAATTGCTGTGCCAAACCAAAACATGCGAATATCTAGGTTAGCAGAACATCTGGGATCTTTTTTTGTTTGTTTTGCATGCAAAGGTGACAACTCTTCCATTGTTTCTCCAAAACACCGCACAGAGTCCCATTCATCTGTACATCGATAAGCCTGGCACTAGGCCACTACATGTCACAACCCTTAGCTGCAGGCGAGATCAAACCGGTGACGTCAGCTATCATAGGATGGAAATCGGAAGAGGGGATCTCGGTAACCAGGAGGACGATCGTCTTCCTGACCTTTTGGTTCGTCTCTCTCAAATATTTTCTCCTGGCCACTCCCTTTGTAGTGGCGATATGTTTCTTGGGCCACAGACTGTCGAGTGTTACATCCTGGGCTGTCCTGGGTCGAGTGTTACATCCTGGGCTGTCTTGGGCCGAGTGTTACACTACAGTAGCAGAGAATTGGAACGTGGCCCACCACCTTCCGCCTCGTGAACGTGACCAGAGCAGAGCAAACCCTCCCGAAGTCTGAAGTCTGAAGTCTGAACTCTGAACTGGTATGGTACCACAAAACCTTGACAACCTGGCGATAAAACCCTCCCCAATCCTCGTTTCTCGCCACCCCTCAAACCCCATTTTCGCCGCCAGATTCGGTGCCGTCCGGATCGATTTCCTGTGCATCTGCTCCTACAAGGGGCGGACGACTCGGCACAATCTGCCGGCATCTCCTCTCTGTTCTTGCATCGAATTTTGTTATTGCCGACTGAACCGTGCAGACAAGTGTTGGTGAGCGCATGGGCGGAGGTGGAGATGGGGGATCGTGCGATCTCCTCCAAGTACTTTTTGGTAGGTGGATTTTACTTCATAAACAATATTCGACAGCGGTTCGAATGCTAGATGCATTTAGGAACTTGGTTAGTTCATTGAGTTGAAGTTTTCACATCTGAGACTAGACTATGCGTATCCATTTGTTTACCAGGGTTAAACCATATAGACATATCTAAGAGTTGTTACAGCAAATTTCTTTGCAGCAGTTGTATTAGGATTTATGGTATATAATGTAGGCTTGGTTGTCCTTATGCCACATTTGCTTGACGTGCCTTTTACAATTCCAGAGGGGGCCTTAGCTGGAGGAGCTGCTGGTGTTGTTGTTGAAACAGCTTTATATCCTATTGATACAATAAAGACCAGGCTTCAGGTAAGTTGATTCTACATTTGAATGTAGCGTCCTTTTGTTTAGCTTATCATGCAACGATCATTCTGCAAATTGCTCATTCTCAGATGCATGGTAATATGCGTATATTTAATACTCATTAATTCATGGCCCTGCCTGATGCCATTCTTAGTAAATTTAGACCAATGTGTCTCTACAATCTCTTTCGCTACCAAGTCTTCTGGATGTGCTTGTGGCGCCTACAAGACTCTCATGTGTTTTTGAAGTGCCACAGCTTGTATCAGTTTTATTTGCTTACCCTTTGCTGAGGAACCATTTTTTTTGAAGTAACACAGAAGTTCACAGATCAATTTTATGAGATTTGTTTTTCTCATTTTTTTTTATATAGGCTGCACAAGGCGGAAGTAAAAATCATTGGAAAGGCCTGTATGCTGGGTTAGCTGGAAATATTGTCGGTGTTCTTCCGTGAGTATTTAGTATTACAGTGAAAACTGAAGAGGTTTCTTATGCAAGCCTAGAGGATGCTATCATGCTGTTGGCAATACAAGCAGAAGGAATCTGGATGTGTCACCTATGTTTTAGTGTATTGCAGTAATGTGTATTCTTAGCTATTTCTCCCTGATGTTTTTACTGTAGTTCATATTTATATTATTGTGGTTTTATCGTTTCCATATTGTATTGAGGTGTTACTAGTCCATGATCTTATTTCCAAGGTCAATGTCTAGTTACATTCCTGACATATACTGCTATATCTGTATTGAGAATATGAGACCCTGATTGTATCATAGTTATCGGTTTTTCCATATATATCTGCTTCATTGCGATTTCTCTGAGCCACTTCATATTTGTTACAGTGCTTCCGCAATTTTTGTTGGAGTATATGAGCCAGCTAAAAGAAAACTACTGGAAATATTTCCTGAAAATTTGAGTGCTATTGCTCATTTGGTATGTCAGCAGAAAAACTATCTTCATAGTCCTGTTGATTTATTAATTTGGAGTATATGGAATTACTCGGTGCCAAATTAAATTGGATAGTTGAAAAAAAATACTACTATTAAGCTAGTGATATAACCTTTCAAACCTTTTGCCTTACAAATTACAATGAATTTGTTTTGTGTTCTGAAGATATGTGCAAAAGACTGCAGGGGCAATTGGAGGGGCTGCTGCTTCTCTCATTCGTGTTCCCACAGAGGTCAGTTTTGTTCATTCTTCCCTTGGCACTTCAAATGTTACCACAATTTGAATTGAAATTCACTGGATTCAGGTGGTTAAACAAAGAATGCAAATGAGTCAGTTCAAGACTGCACCTGATGCCGTTCGCCTTATTGTCGCTAAAGAAGGAATTAAAGGACTTTATGCCGTATGTATCTTTCAGTCATATGGAAATTTCCTTTGTTTCATATTTTAATTCTGATGAATTACGTCTACTAGGATGATCAATATTTTCATTTTTGCCATGTAAATTCTAATTTCAGTGGCTCATCAGTTTTACGAACACGTGTCATTCGGTTTGCAGGGATATGGTTCCTTTCTACTGCGAGATCTGCCATTTGAGGCCATTCAATTTTGCATATATGAGCAGCTCCGAATTGGTTATCGATTAACGGTATTTATCTCACTTATATTTGATGAATCTAACGTATTGTTTATGAAAAATTCCATGTTCTTTTGAACCAGCATGTTCTGATTGACTGTTAGTTCAGAATGGGATAACTACCTATCTGAGGAGGCTAGATGATTGTGCTCAAGTGATTAGGGATTTGAATGGAAGTTGAATCAGTATGATAAGAGAACCGAATAGCATGGAAAGAGTAATTCATTCTTCCTGTTTAATCACAATGATATCCCTTCAGAAAGGATGACATGGCTTTGACTTACTATAAAACATTATCTAAATTAAAAAGGAAATACCTAAGCAATGGTAATTGTGTAAACTAACAAAATCAATCAAACTCTAATAAAGGGGAGTAAAAATATTAGTGACAAATGCTGTAGTTTTATATTGCCCATGAACAAAGGAAAAATAATGTATTCAAAGTGAATGCATCTAACATTCAAGATAAACCCAAACAAGATACTAATGCAGTATTGCTGATGACAGAAGTACCCAATCAAGACCACAAAATCCATATCAATCATAGCAGCTTGACTCCAGGATAACTGTGGCCTCCCTATTGTTTCTGAATTCTTCATATCCATTGTCACCTCTTGATTTATTGTTTCCCAGTTACCTCCCAAAAACTACACTTAATTTATGGCTTCAAGGTGCCTCCATTATTTGTGAAAGAGATCTTATGGCTTGCTTCATTGCTAGTGTCTGCAAGCTTGGATTTCTATAACACAGGATGGGTCGAATCCAACTGCTGTTTCCAGCAAGAGGATAATTATAGCCATTGGAAACTGCATCCCGTTATTTTTTTTGTTCTGTTGGTACACATGGGATGTGGGAGTGTGATAGTTTTATTATCACTTCTCTTTTATTTTTAGTAAGTTTATACTGGCTTGTCATGGCTAAGTTCAAACCTTAATGTACATTAATAACTTTTGTATTCAAGTTCTATTTCTGTCATTACCTCTCTTTTAGTTGTCATTTAAACTTAAGCAATTGCTTTGAGCCAAAATAGAGCTTGGTAAACGCAAAACACACAACTAGCTATTCGAACCAGAATTGATATATCCTAGGACTGCTAGCACATATTTACCGAGTCTTGACTTTCTTGTGGATCCAGGCTAAGAGGGAGTTGAAAGACGCAGAGAATGCAATTATTGGTGCTTTTGCTGGTACAACTGAACTTCCATACTAGGCTAGTTTCCAGTATATTCCAGTTTGCTGTTCTTTCCTGTCTTTTCTCAAGATTGTGCACATTTGCTATTCTATAAGCATTTATACCAATATTTCTTTGAAGTTTTCTTACAGTTTTGTGCATATATGTATTCTGTAATCAATGATTAAAAAGGTTCCGTCAATCTTTCTCATCTCTTTACCAAAGTTACTTTTGGCTTTTCAAGTGCAATCACCTTTTAGGGTGCAATCGTGAAATCATTATCTGTTCAGACACCAAAATGACATGAAAGAAGGCACAGGAAAATTCTAGCTTGGCTTCTCAATGTGTTCTACCTGCGTTTAAAAATTAAGTTTAGATCCATTCTTGTTACAAGTAACAGAGAAGTTCTGGCTGATCATAAATCAGATGGAAGAAACACAAGTTACAACCTTCAACTTTTCAGCCATCTAATTTATCCTTAAATTGCCATACCCTTTGTACCCTCGAACTGTCATTGTCTAATATATGCACCCAAAACCACAATCCAGTTTTGGTTGGCTGACATGGCACCAATATGCTGGTTGTTTTGACTTACAGGTGACGATTGCCCTCCCCATTTGGCATACATAAGTAACTTCATTTTTTTTAAAGATTGCATCAGTAGCTGATTATATCCTTAATTTATCATACACTTATATTGGCATATTTAGTATGGTAGCTTAAGTGCCCACTTCGTAGTGTCAGGTGCCATTACTGGCGCTTTAACAACACCCCTCGATGTCATGAAGACAAGATTGATGATTCAGGTGGATCTTGTGACTGCATGAACTCTTCGACCTGATGGCACTTGTTAGGGATCACCACTGCTTATTTCGAAGTTTCCTCTGATTCCAGGGACAAGCAAACCAATATAGAGGTTTCATTGATTGTGCTCAGACTGTCATGCGAGAGGAAGGTGCTGGCGCATTTCTGAAGGTAAAACTTTTGCATTCACAGTAGACACAGTAACAAGAACTTGCACGGGTTCACATTGATGATTAGAAAAAACATGCATTTACATCACGTCACATTTCAAATGTGGGGTCCACATTTGAAACATCTTTGCTTGTTTATATGTCTTCTATCTCTATAAAGCAATATAATAGAATAGCTGGACCACAACTATAAATAGGCACTTGCGAATGCTGGGTCCTGGGTACGCGCAATTCGATTGATATCTTTCTGGTTGCAGGGTATTGAGCCAAGGGTACTATGGATTGGCATTGGCGGGTCAATCTTCTTTGGTGTTCTGGAGAAAACAAAATCGATTCTAGCTGAGAGGAATATCCGTAGGTGAGAGGATGAATGAAAGCTTTTGGCATCATGATCATTTAGCTAGTGCACGAGGTGGAAGTGCGCCTGCCCAGATTTTGTAGCCCGAGTTTCCCTTTCTATTCTGTTCCATTTGAGCAACGTTGATGGATTGGAAGTCTCCTTTTGCGTGATAACTAGCTAGCTGGCTTTTTTTCTAAAAAAAAGTACAATCGGTTGTATTTTTTGATAACGTACCATCGGTTGTATTAAAATGAGAAAAGTATGCATTATCCTAGATTGATTTGTTAGGAGGTGATAAATGCCCTGGACTATTGGTTCAGATAATTAAGCAGAGCAACAAGTTTGTTACGGTGACAGCGCCCTCCACTCCCTCTGGCCCTCCACTCCCTCGTGTGACAGCGCCCTCAGTGTCGGGGTTTCAAGCCCTCCTCTCACCTCGTATGATACAACTAGAGTCTCTTTATATCCTTGTTAATTGATATGACTAGACTATGGTAAAAAGTATCATTCAACAACTTATTTAATTAGATCTTCAAATATAGCCATTATTTATTATGGATTCCTCGTTAACTAAAGATAGAGAGTGGGGCTGGTTCTCTAGAGTACGCACAAGATATATGTTGAACGGTGGAAATGTGAGGACTTCACCCTGACCGTCTAGTTAGTACCCGCGCTTAGGTGAGGCTCAAAAGGTTTGGGGAACATTTGCTTGAAAACATAATATGATTAGGGTTTAGAACACTTAAACGAGAATTGGGGCAACGTTGTGCTCCCACAGACGGTCCGGTAGTGAGGCCTGGATGGTCCGCCAGAGCCTAGGGTTTTCTGTGCGAGATTCCATAGGCCCATTGTTCTCGCAAATGGTCCGGTGGGATCTCCCAAATGTTTCGACAGGGATCGGGATGTCCTTTTGTGTGTCGTTTTCTTCTTCAGCCAATGTCAAAAGCTGAGCCACCACGGCCACCACGTGCTCGTGCCTTCCAGGTCGTCATTCGTCGCCCACGTGCTTCCACACATGCTTCTCCAACATGTTTAAGGGGTAAGCCTCCAATTCTTTTGTCCAACTTTGCTTTTTCTCCGTTGATTCAAACTTAGGGGTGACCCAATCTACTTTTTGGCCATGGATTTGGAGTGGAAGATGTTAGGGATCTTAGGAGAACACTTGAGCAAAGTTTGATGAACCATAATTGATTAGAACTTGAGATATTGCAAGATTTGTGATTCACGGTTACTGTGCACGCTATAACTGTAAAACAGTCCGAGAGTGCCTTCACTACAAGAAATGTGTGGTTTTTTTGACATTCTATTTATGTCAAAATATATGGAATTAATGTCACAACTTAAGATTTGTGACTTTCAGTTGACGAAAATTCGAAAGTTAAAAAACCACCGTCACAAATTGATCATGTGGCGTTTGTATATTTATTGTCACAAACTTATGACAATGGATTTTAGTGTCATATAGGTTTATGACTTTGGTTTATTGTCATAAAATCTTAGGCCTTGCCACATTGGGCAAATGTCACGTAGGATCAAAAGATGACATGACATTGACATGGCAGGAAAAAATGTCACAAGATGAATTTTGGCCTGCTAAAGCCCACATAGCAGGCAACCTCTTCATGGGCCACAAGTTTTTTTGGACTGATATTGCCTGGCCCATTATTTCATTTTCGTTTTTTGGCCCATATTTTTTTATGATTGTAGCCCATACAATTTTTCAGCCCACACAATTTTAGCCCATACAAGCCCACACAATTCAGCCTATATTTTTTTCAGCCCACATATTTCAACCTGTACAATTTTTTCAGCCTGCACAATTCAGCCTATATATTTTTTCAGCCCATACATTTTTTTCTAGTCCACACAATTCAGCCCATACATTTTTTTCAGCCCCACACAGAAACTTTTTAGCCCATACAGTATGCAATATTTCAGCACATACAATTGCATTCATATAATTTTCAACTCATACAAAAAAGTCAGATTTAGATGAATCAACATCTCCACATATGATTGCAATATCACAAGCATTCCATAAGTCTTAAAATTATATGAGCTCATTTACGCGATCATTCATTGCATCAGCTTTGGCATTTCTCTTCATCGCTGCGGACTGCATACCAACATTGCGAAGAAAAGTTGATTTTGGCAGAACATGAGCTACAGCTTGAACAAGAGTCTTGGAATCTTGCCCTTCTTCTGTTGGTTGAGCAACACATATGCCTCCATTTGAGCCTAGCAACAATAAAGCAAAAAAAATTAGATTTCAATGCTAGTTATGTATATCTAGAACAATACATATGTAATGATGTCTATATGGAAAGCAACATAGTGGAAGAAATGGAATGATGTCTATAGAATGGAACCTTCTATACTAGTTATGTGTGTCCAGAAGGTATATATGTAATGATGTCTATATGGAATAAAGATTTGTGCAAACATTTTTCTTTTGGTATAAAGATCTGTGCAAACAATGGAGGAAATCAACTTCCATGCTGGTATAAAGATCTGTGTAGCCATTTTTCTTTTGGTTTATTTCTCTGAACATGCTAAGTTGAATGTGGCAATCTAGTGGATGTCAAGAAGTTTACCACATATTCATCCATGCATGCCACACAAAATTTGACAAATAGAAGCATGACCATGACATTAAAAAAATTGTAGAGTAAGAAATTATACATGACCATGACATTAAGAAATTATACCATATGGAAGCACCACTGCATTTCATTCTCAGGTACTCATCAAGGCAGAGACTTATGACTCTATCTATCCAGGCTTACAATGTGTCTAGGCCAACTACATTCTGATGTGCTCATCAAGGCCAAGTTTCATTCTCATGTACTGATCAGTTGTGTTGTTCATCATAGTAAGAAATAGGGAAAGGTACTCACGATGGCATCCTTCGCTTGCTAATTAAAACCTGACTTGCTACTGCAGTGGGTGTCCTTAAAAATATCAATCATAGTTGGTGGCGCATCCTTAAATTTGGTTTGCTTCTGAAATTACATACAAATGTAAAAGTAAATAACTAAAAGCATGTGGAGTTATTTGTAGCAGCAGCCCAACACAACAGTAGCAACACAATAGCAGCAGCAGCAGACACAGTAAATAACAAAAAGTAAATTACATATAGCAGCAGCACAGTAAATAATAGAAAAGTAAATTACATACAACGGCAGCACAAGAGCAGCAGATTAACATTTAATTTTTGTATCCTAAGGTAGCATAACAGCAGCAGTAGCTTCACATTTATTTACTCACAAAGATTTCATTAAAACTGACATGCTATAAATCTAAAACTGTATGTTTGATTTCCATTAATATGTTCTAACATGCCATAATTCTAAAACTATAGTCGTGCCTATATATGACAGAGTTATAATCATGCCTATTCAGGTGGATTACACCATAAGTCCTTATATTTGTGGACAAATTTTGAATCAAGTTCTTGTATTTGTGGACGGAGGGAGTAAGATACATGTAGAGTATTTGAATTCAATTATATAGGCAAGATTTTAGGAAGGACTATAAGCTAATAAAAATTCAATGAGCAGCAGTAAAAATAGATATCAAATTGAAATAGACAACAATAACAGACTGCTAACAAAAGGTAAATCCAAAAGCTTCAGAAAATATGAGGCACACTTGAGAGTTCAGTGAGTTTGCACTAAGAGCAGTTTATGCTTCAGGGTAGGAAAGGATTGGAAGATAGCTATGATACACTTCTATATGAGTTATAATACAAATAATTTCAATTAATCTACAGGTAGGACCGTAAAAGCTCATGTAGAGTGCCTAGGATCTGGTCAACGACACAACACCAAGGAACTTTACCAAGTGTTTACGGGCTAGCATCAGCAGGCAATTTCAATATTCAATCATTAATAACACCTCAAAAGAGTACAATGTCATAGCTCATAGTTCAGTATAACAAAAGTGTAGACACATATATAGTTCAGTAAACTTGAAAGTATGCTAGCTAGACCCGAAAATCTAATATGCAACATCTCCCATCAGTCACTGTCACAAGAACATAGGCTTAGAGTATGCATCATTTGTAGGTAGTATTAAATGCAGCCTGATTCCCATCCCAACCTATGAAGGTAATACAACATCAACATGCCCTTAAAACCATGTCTAGTGGTTAATTTCCTATGCAAAGAAGAGAACCTCAGTTCATTCAGGTTATGGGTGAACACAAAAGTACTGAGATGTGAAGAACACATAACAACAATCAATGTTATGCCTCAGCGACTGCGCCATCTAGAGGCAACAACAAATGCAGCCGAATCGGATACCAATCTGCCATGTTGCTAGAAACAAAGGTACGGAGTACGTGCTGTCAAAATTTCTGGTTAAAACACTCCCTCCATTTCCCTAAAAAAGTCGTTTTGGACATCGACACGGTCTCTAAAAACAACTTTGATCACTACTTTTTGCTATAAAATATTTATAAAATATAGTCAATATATACTTTTATAAAACTACATTTGGAGATGAATACTTACGCCACTTTCATATTTTCAAACTCAACCCAAAAGAATATATTTGTAGTCAAAGTTTAAAATATTTAACTTAAACAACCTCAAAACAACTTTCTTTAAAACATGGAGGAAAACTAGCTAATGGCTTATCTGAATAAACTCAATCCATATATATGGGCTACCGCTTCCCGTGAGGGTGCAAACTCCAGGTCGTCATATATTCTAGCAGCTTTTTAGAAAGTCAGTGTAAGAAAAAAGTAATTTAAGTACATTTTCGATTGAAGTGCTCAAAGTTTGACCAAATATATAGATAAAATATTAACATTTATAACATCAAATAAATATATTATAAAAATATGTTTGATCATGAATCTAATGGTATCTATTTAGCATGATAAATATTATTAAATTTGGTTAAACTTGCAAACTTTAACGTTCTATTTTTTATGGGACGAAGGGAGTACCTTCGAGGAACACATTGGACAGCGGTAGTGCACGAAAAAATATGCAGTGGAAAGCACATACTAAGTGGAAATGCATGCAAACTAGTTTTAAAAAATGCATTCTGTAACTCTAAAAAATTTGAAACTTAACACATATGTAGTGCATATACATATTTACTCACATGTAAAATTTGGGTTGCAAACCCATTTAGAAAAAAACATACAAAAATCATAAATTTCACTTGTATGAGCACTACAGGACAAAAAATCAGGATTTTTGTCTTCTAGCATACATGCAAATAAATTTTGTTATTTTCAAATGAATTTTTCATAAAAGACTTTGCATCTCAACTTTTTGTATGAGTTCACGTATGGATGATTGTACATGTACTAAGTTTCAAATTTTTTGAAGTTACGAAAGTGCATTTTTTTAAACTAGTTTCCATGTTTCCACCGAGCATGTGGTTTCCACCATATATTTTTAAATTAGTTTGCATGTTTTTACCTAACCTAATATATGGTTTTCACCACATATTTTTTCTTCGTGTGGGCCATTCACGATAGAAAATCAGTTCATTCTTAACCTAGGCCATCCTACGGTGGTTGGCAGTCGTATTCACTGTGATGATATATTATTTTAATTTGATGCATCAACTCATATTTTTAATTTGATGCCTCGACTCATGTTTTGGAGTCGGCTTCTAACAATTTGCATGCATCGGTTGTTCTGCATAGGTCATGCATTGATTTATTGGATGCCAACTCATCCCACGAGTCACTTTTGCAGAGTCCACCTTAGAAGCCAAGGTCAGTTACATATTTGTTTCTCGTTGGGTATCCGTAGCGTTTAAGACATTCAAAGGCCTTAAGGAGGGTCCACCTAACATAAGGCCTTATCCTTTTAAGGCAGCTCCAACAAATGTCTTTTGAGTTAACTCCAAGTATTTTTTTGTATTTTAATAAAAAAGAGAGAAAAACTAGCTCTTTATCAAGAGCGCACACATTTCAAGATTATGTGAGAGTATCATGTGGGACTACCATGTTATAAGCTATGTGCTAAAAGTTAGCACTATTGAAGAAGTTATCTTAGAGCTAGTAACTAGCTCTTACTATTACAGGTGCCTTTATGTATAAAGACTACCTAGGTGTTAAGAGTGGGTCCTACACAAGAAATAAAAAAATCTACCGCCCACAGAGGAGGACAAGCATGTGGAGTTGATGGGGTAGTTTTGTGATTGTGGGAGAGAAGAGAATCTAGGAAAAATTGTATTTTACTCCTTGAGGTCGGGTCTTTGGGCTAAGACCAGTCCTCATGTTTTTTCTGCTAGGGTCGAGTATAAGACTAGCATTGTAATGTGCGTTTGGATTACGGGACGAATGAGGATAAGATGGGTCAATCCTGTTTTTACCGGTGTTTGGTTAGAGGACGTCGAGAAATGGGTTGGCCCCTGAGCGGAATATCTTGTCCGATCAGTACAAGCTCTGCCCCCCCTCGAAAATGAGCCGACGGGGCCATCCCCAATTAAACATGTCGTTCGGCCATCACGACTTCTCCTTCGCGCGAGCGTTTGTGGAGGCGCGGCAGCTCATCCCCTCATGGGAACTCGAGCTCGCAAAGGTGCTGTGGCATGGCGGATTCCCCCTCGTGGCGGCCCGAGATCGCGGTGAAGTTTGACAAGAGGAGGCGAGGGCCAGCGGCGACGGACCTCTGCTTCTATCTCTCCGGTCGCACACGGCTTCTCTCTCGATGACACACACAGGCCCTGTTCGCTTGAGCTTATTCAGAACTATTTTTCAGCTATGGAGCAGATTTTTTTCTCTCACAACATTTCAATATAAGCCAAATTTCAGGATCAGCGAACATGGTGACAGTTTTTCTCCACACATTGCACGCGAAGAAGTTGTGAAAATAAGAAAAATCTGGAGAGGATGACAGGTGAGGTGAGATGGGATCCACAGATGACACCGGCTAACGGTGTCAAAACCGCATCATCCGGTTCCTCGGAATCCCCCTCCAACCCCCCCAAAAAAAAAAAGATGATCCTATCCCCGTAACCAAACACCTATGGTTAAGGCGTATCCCATCTTATATCATTCTCACACCAAACGAACGCGTAACCTTTGAGGTCGACTCTAGAAAGCTACGATTGTTTGGTACTGTGTGGTTGTTGCGCTATGTGGCTGCAGATTGTTCCCTCATCTCGTGGAGTCTCCATTTGCCGCAGGGTACGGTGGGTGTGTTTCGTGGAGCCTAACATATCCACGTCTCGATCCTGTAATTTAATTGCATATATAAGTATATAACAATAAATAACAGGACACGTACGAGGCTCCACGGACTACTATAAAATCAGGGAGCCACATGGAGTAGTTTAATAGGTCCACAGGCAGCCAAGGAGTGTTCTGCCTCCGATCGCAGCGGTTTGTTTGCTTGCACATTTGCACACAAGTGCAGCGCAGTAGCGGTAAGGCAGCAAGAACACGAGAAGCAGCCAGATCCATCCTTATTGCAACTGTCGGTCGGCCATGGGTTCCTCGACGGCGCAGCAGAAGCCGCACGTCGTGCTGGTGCCGTTCCCGGCGCACGGCCACGTCGCGCCGCACGTGCAGCTCGCGCGCGCCCTCCACGCCCGCGGCGTCCACGCCACGCTCGTCCACACCGAGCTGCACCACCGCCGCCTGCTGCAGGCCGCCAAGGCCGCCGCCGACGATGCTGCCACGGCGGCGCCGGCGGACGAGGCCTTCGCCGTCGAGGTCATCCCGGACGGGCTGTCGCTCGACGACCCGCCGCGCACACGCTGCGGGCGGCCCACGAGGCGATGGAGCGCAACTGCCTGGAGCCGTTCAAGGCGCTGCTGCGTGACCTGCTCGGCAGGCCCGGCGTGCCGCCGGTCACCTGCGTCGTGGCCGACACCCCGATGCCGTTCGCGGCCGTGGCGGCGCGCGAGGTCGGCGTCCCGGACGTGCAGTTCTTCACGGCGTCCGCGGCCGGCTCATGGGCTACCTCCAGTTCCAGGAGCTCGTGGCGAGGGAGATCGTCCCGCTTAGCCCCGCCTACGAGACCGACGGCTCCCTCGACGCGCCGCTGGACTGGGTGCCCGGGATGAAGGGCGCCCTGCGGCTCAGGGACATGCCCACGTTCTGCCGCACCACGGACGCCGACGACTGGCTGCTGCACTTCCACGTCCACCAGATGAAGATCGCCGCCGCCTCCAAGGCGGTCATCCTCAACACTGTCGACGACATGGAGAAAGACGTCCTCGACGCGCTCGCGCCGCTCCTGCCGCCCATCTACACCGTCGGCCCGCTCGCGAGCGTCGTCGTAGCCTTAGCATCCACGGCGGCGGCGGCCACGACGACGTCCACGATGGGCGTGTTGCAGGAGGACAAGGAGTGCATGGCGTGGCTCGACGGCAAGGCGGCGCGCTCCGTCGTGTACTTCAGCGTCGGCAGCCACGCCAGCATGGGCGACGCGCAGCTGAAGGAGATCGCGTCCGGTCTGGCGCGGTGCGGCTCTCCCTACCTCTGGGTCCTGAGGCCAGAAATGGCCGCCGAGGTCGAGGTCGGCGAGGACGGCCTGGTCGTGCCGTGGTGCCCGCAAGAGGCGGTGCTCAACCACCCGGCCGTGGGGCTGTTCGTCACGCACTGCGGGTGGAACTCCATTCTAGAGAGCGTCGTCGCCGGCGTGCCGGTGCTCGGATGCCCCGTGCTATCTGAGCAGACGACCAACTGCCGCCAGGTGTGCATGGCGTGGGGCATCGGCGGCGAGCTGCCGCAGGGAGCGGGGAGCGACGAGATAGCGGGGCTCGTGAGGGAGATGATGACCGGGAGGAAGGGGAAGGACGCGAGGGAGAAGACGCTGCTGTGGAAGAGGCTGGCACAACTCAGTGCACAACAAGGCGGCTCATCTTACGATAACATTGGTCGATTGGTGGAGAACATCCTACTCAAGGAGATCTGACTTCAAATCATCGTCGACATCCGAGCAGAGTTTTCATTATCGAAAATAAAAATCTATCAGAGATCATGAATAAAATAGATAAACAAGATGTATAAAAATATCAGAACACATTAAAAAACATTAAATTGTTTTGAAAAAAATTCACATAATTTGACTTGAAACTATTCCTAAACTATTAAACATCAATTGTTCACAGAAAAACAGAAATAAAGCATTATAAATGCGGGATTGTAAGGATGTTTCCCTTATTTTTTTAAAGACAGGAATAAAACATTACTTGTTTGTAAGATATTTCTGTAAGGATGTTCCCCTTATTTATTTTTAAATAGTAAAGTGTATCTCCGGTCCTTAAACTTAAACTTGTTCTTGTTTCTTGTTTCGGGGTGTCATCGTGGTCCTCGATCTCATAAAATGTAGATTTAGATCCCTAATCACTGTTCAGGTCCCGTCTCCATCCAATTGGACATAGACGAGGCTTACCTGCTGGGCGTGTCCTTGCCACCATGTATAGTATGTGGTATTGTTGCGGGAGGTGTTGATGATTTTTATTTGGAACCCCTGTAGTTCTCTCTTCTCCATTCTTGGCTCCTTTCCATTACCATTTTGTATGTAGCTTTGAAATCCTTTGTTCACTCAAAATCCCTAGCCATTGCCGTCATGTAAACTCTTTTTGTGGCTGTAGCAGTGAAAGGATCAAGATGCCCAAGAAAGAGGGTGAATTGGGCTAATTCTAAATTGTTTACAATAATTAAACCCTACACTTATCCCACTTTACGCCTTGTGCAGGAATATATTTCTATTGATCTTACGCACAAAAGATTTACACCCTAGGTTCCAATCCTACTCTAGCATAACAATTCTAGGAATGTAAAGACATGAAATAAATTGCTCAAATGTAAATGCTCAAAGTAAGGAGAGGGAAAGGAACGCGGCGATATTTTTCCAATGTATCGGAGAGTCGCCACTCCCAAGTAGTCCTCATTGGAGCACCCATGCAAGGGTGTAGCTCCCCTTGATCTGCATGAAGGATCAAGTGCTCTCTCTGGGCTGATTCTTGACACTCCGTCATGGGTCAATCGCCCACAACCGCTCACAACTTGAGTTGGATCATCCATAAGCTCCGTCGGATGATCACCAAACTCCCAATCACCACCGAGCCGTCTAGGTGACGACGATCACAAAGAGTAACCAGCACAAACTCTCACTTGACCACGACAAGCCTAATGAGAAGGGTGGATGCACACTTGTTACTCACCTTGCACTAATGAGAACCTTAATCTTGGATTCTCAAATCTCAATCACCTCACTCGGCTCTTGCTCTCATTTGCACTCTCAAGGGTGCTTCTCAGTTGAACAAATGGGCAAGAGACCTCCTATGGATGAGTGGAGTAAGTATTTATACCCCCCATTCAAAACATAACGTTTAGAGGTTGAGTCAGCACTCTGCGGGGTGACCGGACGTTCCGGTCAGGGTGACCGGACGCAACGGTCAGTTATCCCCGCCACTGTGTCAGAAAGAGCAGTTAAGTTCTGACCGGACTCTGACCAGCGTCCGGTCATCACTAACCGGACACGTCCAGTCATGAAAAACGCTCTCTGGAACCTTACTGATATTGACCAGACGCTGGCACCCAAAGTCCGGTCACTTCACTGTTCAGCATCCGGTCAGTTACCGGATCCTAACCAGCGTCCGGTCAAGAAAATCCTTCTCTGGAACATTTCTGGAGTTGACCGGATGCTAACACGCAGCGTCCGGTCCACTTTTACTCATCGTCCAATCAGTACCAGACGACTTCAATTGATCAAATGAACTAACCGGACTCACCCTCCAACGTCCGTCACAACCAGACCAGCGTCCGGTCAATTATTTGACCCTCTATTCACTTCCAACTCGAAATCCTATGTGAATGAAGTTTGCTCCAATTAATCTTAGGGCTACTCCTGAGCTACCTAGTGCTAGGTTTGACAAGTGTGTACCACACCTAACCCACTAGACTCACCTAGGTCAAGCTACTAGTCTGTAACAGAACCGACCAATTATACGAGATTAAGTAAGAAAATCTTCCGCCGAAGCAGATAATTTAGCAAACTTAAACCCGTATAACCCGGTAGTCCGTAAAACCACGAAGGATTTCAAACCAATCGACATACAAACCAAGATCGTACAAGTTTAGCAACTACCGTCACACGTTACACAAAGTTCGCAACGACAATTGATACATCAGAGTTTGAAACATAAAGTTATTACATACCAAGTTCGAACTGAAATAGCGGAAGCAAATAGTTTTAAAGCCACACACACACTTTTGATTCGAGATCACGATGCGGTGGGTAGTCATCTCCAACAAAAGCATCGGATGAAAATACGGAGTGACCATTTGCCCTTGGTCCTAGTTGTCACCCATCGCCGGATATAGGCGATTAATGCAATAGTCGTAGCGCGAAACTACTGATTGAAAGTCAAATAAAATTCCGGGCGAGGTGCGGGGCAGGCCGGGCCGGCTTGCGGGTGGGCTGGGCCGGAAACGAGGCGGCGGCCCAATAAGGTAAAAACGGGATTTTACAAATTACTTTAAATTCCTTTTTCATTCAAACGAAATTTTGAACTAATTCAGAGCAGTTTCAAACTTTGGCCCAAAAATAAAAGTTGCTCAAAATTTTATTCTCTACAACTTTGCTTTTATGACCAAAGTCAAATTCCAAATATATTTTGAACTACAGATTGAAAGTCAAATAAAATTCCAAAACCCTAGTTTTGAAGAATTAGTTTAAAAGCAAAATTTGGCAAGAATTTAAATAGAAACTTGGCTCCAAATTGTATCCTGATTGTTTATAAGCTATCTTAGTGATCAACCCAAGAAATCATGGCATCCAAACATGAGCATGGCATTCCCACTAGTTTAAACATGATGAATTTCAATCAATTTAAACATCACATGAAATGATACGTCATTTCTTTCGAAATGAAATGCATAAATGATGCTTATGCATAATGAAATGATGATTATGCTCATAAGATGGAATGTTAATGCATGCTTAACACCGAGGTGTTACATAGTCCATACCCCCCTTAATAGTACGGCTAAAGGAAAAACAAAGTCCTAAATTATTCTAAGTGTCTCTTCAACACCAAACAACACTTAGAACTAGTCCGTCCTTAACCTTGTCATCCATCCTTTGAAAACCGAAATGATTTTCATCGATGGGGGCATGACAACCATGATTACCCAATCAATTGCCATTACCATGACCTAACTCAAATTGCCTCTACAAAATACACGTTAGTCATAGTAATCTCGTGTCGTCATTAATCACCAAAACCTAACTAGGGGCCTAGTTGCTTTCAAGCAGTAGGCGAAGCCATCATCGTTATTCATCAGTGGCGCCTAGTACATGCTAGATGGCGGATCTGTGGCAGACTAATGCAGTGGAGGCTATAAATACCCCCTTGTCGATCATTTGAGGTGGATTGGAGCACAAGGAAGTGAAGTGTAGGGTAAATTGAGGAACATCTCTAGTTTCTCTAACCACCAAAGTGGTGCTTTGTGAAATATTTAGGCTAGTTAGACCTTGTATTTGACGCTTGTTTTAGGCTTAGGTATAGTATTTTGTCAGGTTTGCATACTTTTGATGTCGATGCAACGTTCCTTTTTTTGGAATTTTATAAAACTTGGGACACGAGTGATCAGTGATGCCGTCAGTCTTGAATGGTGAAGTAGTAAAATCTTAACATTGAATTGAGATTCTTACAATCTTGTGTGATTCACGGCTATATCAAGGTACAGTTACAATGATTTTACAAACAGCACCAGCTTCAGGGCTCAGGACGATCATGGTAAGAGAACCACATATAGCCCCGAAACGTAGGACTATAGTTCCATATCTCCCCTTCTACAAAAGAAAAATGATTTACACTTGTTGGACATCAAATACTTGGCCTCCTCATAAATGATATGTTGAGAAAAATGTTGTGAAGGCTGTCAAGTCTGCCCAGCTTGGGAAGAGGCTCTTCAGTTTCTTTGTACTATCAACAAGATACTGGTCAAGTACCGCGACATCGATTCTCAGACTTTCAGAAGAGTTTGCCTGTCATGATTCAAATCATTTATCAACAAGACATTTCACAACTCATCCAGAAATAATATAACAGCGAGAAGCAAGAAAAGGAGCTCCAACAAAGATTGACAGCCAAACAATTGGGAAAATAACCTCCAGTGATAAAACATCGGCATATCATGGTACATCAAAATGGCACAGGCAAACTAAATAATATGACAACAAAGATTGACAGCCAGGTAATAAAATAAACACATCAACATACCATGGTAACACACAGTAGCAACCCAAATAATATGCCAACAAAGATTGATAACCCAATAAAATAAACACATCATCGTAATTCACAATGGTTGTTGGTCCCTCGGCTGCCTGCACAGGTAAGCAGTAAACTTACCAGCACACTCATTCACAATGGCTAGAGGTAGAAAAAGAAATTGAGAACAGCTCACACACACAGCACAATCCCAGCGCTGGCCGAAAGTTCTGCTTCTGGACGTGGCAAACTGAACTGCTCTTTTGCATTGCCTTAGGTGTGATATATATACAAGTGATAGTACCTCTACCAGGTACATAGTGATTGGTGAGTACACCAACTATCTACTCCTAAGGTACACCAACTACTCCTAATACTAGCGGTAATAAGATTAGATCAGCCCACTACCAAGGCATGACTGATGAAATAGCTACCAACTAATGTACTAGAGGTGGCCTATTGCCATAATGCTACAGCAATAGAGACTGGGCAGCCGAGCTGACCAAATGCCAACTCTGCTGCAGCAAGAGAAAGAGATCACCAGCAGATTATGTCTTACAATTCTTCCCCTAATCCTGTTGCTAACCCGATGCCTTGACCTCATCCATGTCAATCATCTTCCTCAGCTCCATGAACCGCAGGCGCCTGAGTGACTTGGTGAGGATGTCAGCGAGCTGTCTGCCGGTCTCGACGAACTCGATGACGATCTGCCCTCCATCTATGTAGTCCTGGAGAAAGTTAAACTTGATGTCAATGTGCTTGCTCCGGTCATGGAGGATAGGGTTCTTGACGAGGGCGATGGTGGGCTGGTTGTCCACCATCAGAGCTGGCGGGTGAGCTTCCTCGCCGGTCAGCTCGCCCAGCATCTGGCGCAACCAGACAGCCTGGCATGCCACTGTGGCTGCTGCAATGACTCCGCCTCGCACATCGACAGCGCCACAATCTTTTGCTAAAAACAGTGAGCTCCGGCTTACTTTCCTTTGCCTTGGGGGGTGCCTCACTAAAGACAAGCAGCTCAAAATCGCCCGCCATGTCTGTGTCGCTGAAAACAGTGAGCTCTGACTTACCTTCCTTTGCTTTGGGGGGTGCCTCACTGAAGACCGTGAGCCACAGCCCACCCTTGGGGAAGATGATCGCTGATTGAGCATCCCCTTGACGTGGCGCAGCAACCTCTTCACCGTTGTCCGATGATCCTCCTCGCGGGGTTCTCCATGAAGTGATCGACATACCCGACCGCGAATGTGATGTCCGGCCGAGTATCGTGAGGTAGCGCAGCCCTGTGATGCTCCGGTGGTGCGTCGTGTCCACCTTCGCCGCCATCTTTGTGCTTGGACAGCTTCAGCCGCTCCTCCATTGGAGTTGCGCACGGCTTGCACTCCGCCATGCCGCTACGCTCCATCAGCTTCTCCGCATAGGTGTGCTGGCCCAGGGAGATGTGCTCCTTCCCCTGCCTCACCTCAATGCCGAGGTAGTAGGAGAGCGCGCCGAGATAGCTCATTTTGAAACGAACAGCCATCTCGCACTTGAAGCCATCGATGTCCTCCGCCCACGCTCCAGTGATGATCAAGTCGTCCACATACACGCCGACGATGAGCTCCTTCCCCCGTCACCGTGTGTACCCAAGCTCGCCCAAGGTGGTCTGTGGCGCAGTGAGTGAACCCAAGCTCGCCCAAGGTGGCGTCAAGCTTGGCGTTCCACGCCTGAGGGGCCTATCGGAACCCGTAGAGCGCCTTTCATAGCTTGAGCACCTTGTGCTCAGCGCCCTTGACGGCGAAGCCTGGAGCTTGCTTGACGAAGACCGTCTCCGCGAGCTCGCCGTTGAGGAACGTAGACTTGACATCGAGGTGGTGGACGTGCCAATCCTTTGCTGCTGCCATGGCCAACAACAAGCGAACGGACTCCATTCGTGTCACCAGAGCAAAGACTTCCTCGAAGTCGATGCCCTCACGCTGCACGAAGCCGTGGGCGACCAGCCGAGCCTTGTACTTGACAATGACGTCGTGCTCGTCCCGCTTCACCTTGTAGACCCACTTCAACCCGATCGGCCTGCAGCCCACCGATGGATCCACCAGCTCCCATGTCCCGTTGTCCTCGATGGCCTTCATCGCTTCCAACATCACGCGGCGCCAATTGGCGTCACGTTCAGCCACTGCAAACATCGGTGGCTCCTCTGCACTAACAAGGAGCAGCTCTAGGTCGTCGAGAAAACGACTGGCCAACCCAGGAGCTCCCCCTTCGCCGACGATGTTGTCCACCCGCCTGAACCAGACCTCCTCGCCATCGTGGAAAGTGTCCACGTACTCATCGATGTCGGTGGGTGGAAAGGCGAACTCTAGTGGAGGTGTCCCCTATCCTGCCATCGTAGGGGACTGTGCTGGAGGTGAGTGCACCGCTGCTAGTGGAGACTGCTCGCGCGTGCTCACCATGGCTGGACTTGGCTGCTCCTCAGCCGCCAACCGACCTCCTCGCTGTCGTGGAAGGCATCCACGAACTCGTTGATGTCGCTCGAAGGGGAGATGAACTCGATATCGGTGGTCCCCGGCCTCCCTGTTCTGCCGGAGTGGTCGGCATCACTGCTGAACCGCTCGACACCACTGCTGGAGTGGTCGACACCTCCTCTAGTGTGCTCGACACCCCCTCTAGAGTGGTCAGCTCCACTCCTAGGGTGGTCGGCACCTCTTCTCTAGCGTCTCCACCACTGTGGATGACTAAGTGTTCGACGACGAAGGTGCTGCTCAAGCTGCCAGCTTCCCCCGTGCCCGGACCCTCCCAGTCCTAGGTCACCATCTCATCGAACACCATATCCCTAGAGATCACCACCTTGCCTCTCTTGGGATCATAGAGCCGATACGCCTTGGTGCCCTCCTTGTAGCCCAGGAGCACCATCGGCGTGCTCCTATCTTCCAGCTTGCCAAGGTGAGGCTTGGTGTTCTTCACATGGCCGACGCACCAAATGTCCTGAGGAAGGACACATTTGTCTTGCGTCCATGCCAAGCCTCAAACAAAGTCTTGCCCTTCAGGGCCTTGGTGGGCGCACGATTGAGGATGAACACCGCCGTGGTCACTGCCTCTGCCCAGAACTTTGTCGGCATGCTTTTGGCCTTCATCATGGATCGAGCCATGCTGACCACCGTCTGGTTTCGCCGCTCCACCACGCCATTCTGCTGTGGCGAGAGTGCGGCCGCGGTGTGGTGTCGCACCACACCCTAATCCACGCGATGCGCGGCGCGAACTCCATCGAAGTGAATTCGCTGCCATGATCAGTCCGTAGCACGCGCACGACTTGCCGCTCTCCACCTCCACGCGCGCGCTTTGAACTTCTTGACTACTTCCGTTGCCTCGGTCTTGCTAGTCGGGTTATAGACAGATGAACCGGCTGCAGTCATCCACCAGCTGGTGTTGTTGTTGAAACAGCTTTATATCCTATTGATACAATAAAGACCAGGCTTCAGGTAAGTTGATTCTACATTTGAATGTAGCGTCCTTTTGTTTAGCTTATCATGCAACGATCATTCTGCAAATTGCTCATTCTCAGATGCATGGTAATATGCGTATATTTAATACTCATTAATTCATGGCCCTGCCTGATGCCATTCTTAGTAAATTTAGACCAATGTGTCTCTACAATCTCTTTCGCTACCAAGTCTTCTGGATGTGCTTGTGGCGCCTACAAGACTCTCATGTGTTTTTGAAGTGCCACAGCTTGTATCAGTTTTATTTGCTTACCCTTTGCTGAGGAACCATTTTTTTTGAAGTAACACAGAAGTTCACAGATCAATTTTATGAGATTTGTTTTTCTCATTTTTTTTTATATAGGCTGCACAAGGCGGAAGTAAAAATCATTGGAAAGGCCTGTATGCTGGGTTAGCTGGAAATATTGTCGGTGTTCTTCCGTGAGTATTTAGTATTACAGTGAAAACTGAAGAGGTTTCTTATGCAAGCCTAGAGGATGCTATCATGCTGTTGGCAATACAAGCAGAAGGAATCTGGATGTGTCACCTATGTTTTAGTGTATTGCAGTAATGTGTATTCTTAGCTATTTCTCCCTGATGTTTTTACTGTAGTTCATATTTATATTATTGTGGTTTTATCGTTTCCATATTGTATTGAGGTGTTACTAGTCCATGATCTTATTTCCAAGGTCAATGTCTAGTTACATTCCTGACATATACTGCTATATCTGTATTGAGAATATGAGACCCTGATTGTATCATAGTTATCGGTTTTTTCCATATATATCTGCTTCATTGCGATTTCTCTGAGCCACTTCATATTTGTTACAGTGCTTCCATAATTTTTGTTGGAGTATATGAGCCAGCTAAAAAAAACTACTGGAAATATTTCCTGAAAATTTGAGTGCTATTGCTCATTTGGTATGTCAGCAGAAAAACTATCTTCATAGTCCTGTTGATTTATTAATTTGGAGTATATGGAATTACTCGGTGCCAAATTAAATTGGATAGTTGAAAAAAAATACTACTATTAAGCTAGTGATATAACCTTTCAAACCTTTTGCCTTACAAATTACAATGAATTTGTTTTGTGTTCTGAAGATATGTGCAAAAGACTGCAGGGGCAATTGGAGGGGCTGCTGCTTCTCTCATTCGTGTTCCCACAGAGGTCAGTTTTGTTCATTCTTCCCTTGGCACTTCAAATGTTACCACAATTTGAATTGAAATTCACTGGATTCAGGTGGTTAAACAAAGAATGCAAATGAGTCAGTTCAAGACTGCACCTGATGCCGTTCGCCTTATTGTCGCTAAAGAAGGAATTAAAGGACTTTATGCCGTATGTATCTTTCAGTCATATGGAAATTTCCTTTGTTTCATATTTTAATTCTGATGAATTACGTCTACTAGGATGATCAATATTTTCATTTTTGCCATGTAAATTCTAATTTCAGTGGCTCATCAGTTTTACGAACACGTGTCATTCGGTTTGCAGGGATATGGTTCCTTTCTACTGCGAGATCTGCCATTTGAGGCCATTCAATTTTGCATATATGAGCAGCTCCGAATTGGTTATCGATTAACGGTATTTATCTCACTTATATTTGATGAATCTAACGTATTGTTTATGAAAAATTCCATGTTCTTTTGAACCAGCATGTTCTGATTGACTGTTAGTTCAGAATGGGATAACTACCTATCTGAGGAGGCTAGATGATTGTGCTCGAAGTGATTAGGGATTTGAATGGAAGTTGAATCAGTATGATAAGAGAACCGAATAGCATGGAAAGAGTAATTCATTCTTCCTGTTTAATCACAATGATATCCCTTCAGAAAGGATGACATGGCTTTGACTTACTATAAAACATTATCTAAATTAAAAAGGAAATACCTAAGCAATGGTAATTGTGTAAACTAACAAAATCAATCAAACTCTAATAAAGGGGAGTAAAAATATTAGTGACAAATGCTGTAGTTTTATATTGCCCATGAACAAAGGAAAAATAATGTATTCAAAGTGAATGCATCTAACATTCAAGATAAACCCAAACAAGATACTAATGCAGTATTGCTGATGACAGAAGTACCCAATCAAGACCACAAAATCCATATCAATCATAGCAGCTTGACTCCAGGATAACTGTGGCCTCCCTATTGTTTCTGAATTCTTCATATCCATTGTCACCTCTTGATTTATTGTTTCCCAGTTACCTCCCAAAACTACACTTAATTTATGGCTTCAAGGTGCCTCCATTATTTGTGAAAGAGATCTTATGGCTTGCTTCATTGCTAGTGTCTGCAAGCTTGGATTTCTATAACACAGGATGGGTCGAATCCAACTGCTGTTTCCAGCAAGAGGATAATTATAGCCATTGGAAACTGCATCCCGTTATTTTTTTTGTTCTGTTGGTACACATGGGATGTGGGAGTGTGATAGTTTTATTATCACTTCTCTTTTATTTTTAGTAAGTTTATACTGGCTTGTCATGGCTAAGTTCAAACCTTAATGTACATTAATAACTTTTGTATTCAAGTTCTATTTCTGTCATTACCTCTCTTTTAGTTGTCATTTAAACTTGAGCAATTGCTTTGAGCCAAAATAGAGCTTGGTAAACGCAAACACACAACTAGCTATTCGGAACCAGAATTGATATATCCTAGGACTGCTAGCACATATTTACCGAGTCTTGACTTTCTTGTGGATCCAGGCTAAGAGGGAGTTGAAAGACGCAGAGAATGCAATTATTGGTGCTTTTGCTGGTACAACTGAACTTCCATACTAGGCTAGTTTCCAGTATATTCCAGTTTGCTGTTCTTTCCTGTCTTTTCTCAAGATTGTGCACATTTGCTATTCTATAAGCATTTATACCAATATTTCTTTGAAGTTTTCTTACAGTTTTGTGCATATATGTATTCTGTAATCAATGATTAAAAAAGGTTCCCGTCAATCTTTCTCATCTCTTTACCAAAGTTACTTTTGGCTTTTCAAGTGCAATCACCTTTTAGGGTGCAATCGTGAAATCATTATCTGTTCAGACACCAAAATGACATGAAAGAAGGCACAGGAAAATTCTAGCTTGGCTTCTCAATGTGTTCTACCTGCGTTTAAAAATTAAGTTTAGATCCATTCTTGTTACAAGTAACAGAGAAGTTCTGGCTGATCATAAATCAGATGGAAGAAACACAAGTTACAACCTTCAACTTTTCAGCCATCTAATTTATCCTTAAATTGCCATACCCTTTGTACCCTCGAACTGTCATTGTCTAATATATGCACCCAAAACCACAATCCAGTTTTGGTTGGCTGACATGGCACCAATATGCTGGTTGTTTTGACTTACAGGTGACGATTGCCCTCCCCATTTGGCATACATAAGTAACTTCATTTTTTTTAAAGATTGCATCAGTAGCTGATTCCACTCCCTATATCCTTAATTTATCATACACTTATATTGGCATATTTAGTATGGTAGCTTAAGTGCCCACTTCGTAGTGTCAGGTGCCATTACTGGCGCTTTAACAACACCCCTCGATGTCATGAAGACAAGATTGATGATTCAGGTGGATCTTGTGACTGCATGAACTCTTCGACCTGATGGCACTTGTTAGGGATCACCACTGCTTATTTCGAAGTTTCCTCTGATTCCAGGGACAAGCAAACCAATATAGAGGTTTCATTGATTGTGCTCAGACTGTCATGCGAGAGGAAGGTGCTGGCGCATTTCTGAAGGTAAAACTTTTGCATTCACAGTAGACACAGTAACAAGAACTTGCACGGGTTCACATTGATGATTAGAAAAAACATGCATTTACATCACGTCACATTTCAAATGTGGGGTCCACATTTGAAACATCTTTGCTTGTTTATATGTCTTCTATCTCTATAAAGCAATATAATAGAATAGCTGGACCACAACTATAAATAGGCACTTGCGAATGCTGGGTCCTGGGTACGCGCAATTCGATTGATATCTTTCTGGTTGCAGGGTATTGAGCCAAGGGTACTATGGATTGGCATTGGCGGGTCAATCTTCTTTGGTGTTCTGGAGAAAACAAAATCGATTCTAGCTGAGAGGAATATCCGTAGGTGAGAGGATGAATGAAAGCTTTTGGCATCATGATCATTTAGCTAGTGCACGAGGTGGAAGTGCGCCTGCCCAGATTTTGTAGCCCGAGTTTCCCTTTCTATTCTGTTCCATTTGAGCAACGTTGATGGATTGGAAGTCTCCTTTTGCGTGATAACTAGCTAGCTGGCTTTTTTCTAAAAAAGTACAATCAGTTGTATTTTTGATAACGTACCATCGGTTGTATTAAAATGAGAAAAGTATGCATTATCCTAGATTGATTTGTTAGGAGGTGATAAATGCCCTGGACTATTGGTTCAGATAATTAAGCAGAGCAACAAGTTTGTTACGGTGACAGCGCCCTCCACTCCCTCTGGCCCTCCACTCCCTCGTGTGACAGCGCCCTCAGTGTCGGGGTTTCAAGCCCCTCCTCTCACCTCGTATGATACAACTAGAGTCTCTTTATATCCTTGTTAATTGATATGACTAGACTATGGTAAAAAGTATCATTCAACAACTTATTTAATTAGATCTTCAAATATAGCCATTATTTATTATGGATTCCTCGTTAACTAAAGATAGAGAGTGGGGCTGGTTCTCTAGAAATGCGCAAGATATATGTTGAGCGGTGGAAATGTGAGGACTTCACCCTGACCGTCTAGTTAGTTAGTACCAGCGCTTAGGTGAGGCTCAAAAGGTTTGGGGAACATTTGCTTGAAAACATAATATGATTAGGGTTTAGAACACTTAAACGAGAATTGGGGCAACGTTGTGCTCCCACAGACGGTCCGGTAGTGAGGCCTGGATGGTCCGCCAGAGCCTAGGGTTTTCTGTGCGAGATTCCATAGGCCCATTGTTCTCGCAAATGGTCCGGTGGGATCTCCCAAATGTTTCGACAGGGATCGGGATGTCCTTTTGTGTGTCGTTTTCTTCTTCAGCCAATGTCAAAAGCTGAGCCACCACGGCCACCACGTGCTCGTGCCTTCCAGGTCGTCATTCGTCGCCCACGTGCTTCCACACATGCTTCTCCAACATGTTTAAGGGGTAAGCCTCCAATTCTTTTGTCCAACTTTGCTTTTTCTCCGTTGATTCAAACTTAGGGGTGACCCAATCTACTTTTTGGCCATGGATTTGGAGTGGAAGATGTTAGGGATCTTAGGAGAACACTTGAGCAAAGTTTGATGAACCATAATTGATTAGAACTTGAGATATTGCAAGATTTGTGATTCACGGTTACTGTGCACGCTATAACTGTAAAACAGTCCGAGAGTGCCTTCACTACAAGAAATGTGTGGTTTTTTTGACATTCTATTTATGTCAAAATATATGGAATTAATGTCACAACTTAAGATTTGTGACTTTCAGTTGACGAAAATTCGAAAGTTAAAAAACCACCGTCACAAATTGATCATGTGGCGTTTGTATATTTATTGTCACAAACTTATGACAATGGATTTTAGTGTCATATAGGTTTATGACTTTGGTTTATTGTCATAAAATCTTAGGCCTTGCCACATTGGGCAAATGTCACGTAGGATCAAAAGATGACATGACATTGACATGGCAGGAAAAAATGTCACAAGATGAATTTTGGCCTGCTAAAGCCCACATAGCAGAGCAACCTCTCTTCATGGGCCACAAGTTTTTTTGGACTGATATTGCCTGGCCCATTATTTCATTTTCGTTTTTTGGCCCATATTTTTTTTATGATTGTAGCCCATACAATTTTAGCCCACACAATTTTAGCCCATACAAGCCCACACAATTCAGCCTATATTTTTTCAGCCCACATATTTCAACTCAGTACAATTTTTTCAGCCTGCACAATTCAGCCTATATATTTTTTTCAGCCCATACATTTTTTTTCTAGTCCACACAATTCAGCCCATACATTTTTTTTTCAGCCCCACACAGAAACTTTTTAGCCCATACAGTATGCAATATTTCAGCACATACAATTGCATTCATATAATTTTCAACTCATACAAAAAAGTCAGATTTAGATGAATCAACATCTCCACATATGATTGCAATATCACAAGCATTCCATAAGTCTTAAAATTATATGAGCTCATTTACGCGATCATTCATTGCATCAGCTTTGGCATTTCTCTTCATCGCTGCGGACTGCATACCAACATTGCGAAGAAAAGTTGATTTTGGCAGAACATGAGCTACAGCTTGAACAAGAGTCTTGGAATCTTGCCCTTCTTCTGTTGGTTGAGCAACACATATGCCTCCATTTGAGCCTAGCAACAATAAAGCAAAAAAAATTAGATTTCAATGCTAGTTATGTATATCTAGAACAATACATATGTAATGATGTCTATATGGAAAGCAACATAGTGGAAGAAATGGAATGATGTCTATAGAATGGAACCTTCTATACTAGTTATGTGTGTCCAGAAGGTATATATGTAATGATGTCTATATGGAATAAAGATTTGTGCAAACATTTTTCTTTTGGTATAAAGATCATGCAAACAATGGAGGAAATCAACTTCCATGCTGGTATAAAGATCTGTGTAGCCATTTTTCTTTTGGTTTATTTCTCTGAACATGCTAAGTTGAATGTGGCAATCTAGTGGATGTCAAGAAGTTTACCACATATTCATCCATGCATGCCACACAAAATTTGACAAATAGAAGCATGACCATGACATTAAAAATTGTAGAGTAAGAAATTATACATGACCATGACATTAAGAAATTATACCATATGGAAGCAGCACCACTGCATTTCATTCTCGGTACTCATCAAGGCGAGACTTATGACTCTATCTATCCAGGCTTACAATGTGTCTAGGCCAACTACATTCTGATGTGCTCATCAAGGCCAAGTTTCATTCTCATGTCTTGATCTGTTGTGTTGTTCATCATAGTAAGAAATAGGAAAGGTACTCACGATGGCATCCTTAAACACTAATTAAAACCTGACTTGCTACTGCGCAGTGGGTGTCCTTAAAAATATCAATCATAGTTGGTGGCGCATCCTTAAATTTGGTTTGCTTCTGAAATTACATACAAACAGAAAAAGTAAATAACTAAAAGCATGTGGAGTTATTTGTAGCAGCAGCCCAAAGACTGTGATAGCAACACAATAGCAGCAGCAGACACATAGAATAACAAAAAGTAAATTACATATAGCAGCAGCACAGTAAATAATAGAAAAGTAAATTACATACAACGGCAGCACAGTAGCAGCAGCATTAACATTTAATTTTTTGTATCCTAAGGTAGCATAACAGCAGCAGTAGCTTCACATTTATTTACTCACAAAGATTTCATTAAAACTGACATGCTATAAATCTAAAACTGTATGTTTGATTTCCATTAATATGTTCTAACATGCCATAATTCTAAAACTATAGTCGTGCCTATATATGACAGAGTTATAATCATGCCTATTCAGGTGGATTACACCATAAGTCCTTATATTTGTGGACAAATTTTGAATCAAGTTCTTGTATTTGTGGACGGAGGGAGTAAGATACATGTAGAGTATTTGAATTCAATTATATAGGCAAGATTTTAGGAAGGACTATAAGCTAATAAAAATTCAATGAGCAGCAGTAAAAATAGATATCAAATTGAAATAGACAACAATAACAGACTGCTAACAAAAGGTAAATCCAAAAGCTTCAGAAAATATGAGGCACACTTGAGAGTTCAGTGAGTTTGCACTAAGAGCAGTTTATGCTTCAGGGTAGGAAAGGATTGGAAGATAGCTATGATACACTTCTATATGAGTTATAATACAAATAATTTCAATTAATCTACAGGTAGGACCGTAAAAGCTCATGTAGAGTGCCTAGGATCTGGTCAACGACACAACACCAAGGAACTTTACCAAGTGTTTACGGGCTAGCATCAGCAGGCAATTTCAATATTCAATCATTAATAACACCTCAAAAGAGTACAATGTCATAGCTCATAGTTCAGTATAACAAAAGTGTAGACACATATATAGTTCAGTAAACTTGAAAGTATGCTAGCTAGACCCGAAAATCTAATATGCAACATCTCCCATCAGTCACTGTCACAAGAACATAGGCTTAGAGTATGCATCATTTGTAGGTAGTATTAAATGCAGCCTGATTCCCATCCCAACCTATGAAGGTAATACAACATCAACATGCCCTTAAAACCATGTCTAGTGGTTAATTTCCTATGCAAAGAAGAGAACCTCAGTTCATTCAGGTTATGGGTGAACACAAAAGTACTGAGATGTGAAGAACACATAACAACAATCAATGTTATGCCTCAGCGACTGCGCCATCTAGAGGCAACAACAAATGCAGCCGAATCGGATACCAATCTGCCATGTTGCTAGAAACAAAGGTACGGAGTACGTGCTGTCAAAATTTCTGGTTAAAACACTCCCTCCATTTCCCTAAAAAAGTCGTTTTGGACATCGACACGGTCTCTAAAAACAACTTTGATCACTACTTTTTGCTATAAAATATTTATAAAATATAGTCAATATATACTTTTATAAAACTACATTTGGAGATGAATACTTACGCCACTTTCATATTTTCAAACTCAACCCAAAAGAATATATTTGTAGTCAAAGTTTAAAATATTTAACTTAAACAACCTCAAAACAACTTTCTTTAAAACATGGAGGAAAACTAGCTAATGGCTTATCTGAATAAACTCAATCCATATATATGGGCTACCGCTTCCCGTGAGGGTGCAAACTCCAGGTCGTCATATATTCTAGCAGCTTTTTAAAAGTCAGTGTAAGAAAAAAAAGTAATTTAAGTACATTTTCGATTGAAGTGCTCAAAGTTTGACCAAATATATAGATAAAATATTAACATTTATAACATCAAATAAATATATTATAAAAATATGTTTGATCATGAATCTAATGGTATCTATTTAGCATGATAAATATTATTAAATTTGGTTAAACTTGCAAACTTTAACGTTCTATTTTTTATGGGACGAAGGGAGTACCTTCGAGGAACACATTGGACAGCGGTAGTGCACGAAAAAATATGCAGTGGAAAGCACATACTAAGTGGAAATGCATGCAAACTAGTTTTAAAAAATGCATTCTGTAACTCTAAAAAATTTGAAACTTAACACATATGTAGTGCATATACATATTTACTCACATGTAAAATTTGGGTTGCAAACCCATTTAGAAAAAAAATATAAAAATCATAAATTTCACTTGTATGAGCACTACAGGACAAAAAATCAGGATTTTTGTCTTCTAGCATACATGCAAATAAATTTTGTTATTTTCAAATGAATTTTTCATAAAAGACTTTGCATCTCAACTTTTTGTATGAGTTCACGTATGGATGATTGTACATGTACTAAGTTTCAAATTTTTTGAAGTTACGAAAGTGCATTTTTTTAAACTAGTTTCCATGTTTCCACCGAGCATGTGGTTTCCACCATATATTTTTAAATTAGTTTGCATGTTTTTACCTAACCTAATATATGGTTTTCACCACATATTTTTTCTTCGTGTGGGCCATTCACGATAGAAAATCAGTTCATTCTTAACCTAGGCCATCCTACGGTGGTTGGCAGTCGTATTCACTGTGATGATATATTATTTTAATTTGATGCATCAACTCATATTTTTAATTTGATGCCTCGACTCATGTTTTGGAGTCGGCTTCTAACAATTTGCATGCATCGGTTGTTCTGCATAGGTCATGCATTGATTTATTGGATGCCAACTCATCCCACGAGTCACTTTTGCGAGTCCACCTAGAAGCCAAGGTCAGTTACATATTTGTTTCTCGTTGGGTATCCGTAGCGTTTAAGACATTCAAAGGCCTTAAGGAGGGTCCACCAACATAAGGCCTTATCCTTTTAAGGCAGCTCCAACAAATGTCTTTTGAGTTAACTCCAAGTATTTTTTTGTTTTTAATAAAAAGAGAAAAACTAGCTCTTTATCAAGAGCGCACACATTTCAAGATTATGTGAGAGTATCATGTGGGACTACCATGTTATAAGCTATGTGCTAAAAGTTAGCACTATTGAAGAAGTTATCTTAGAGCTAGTAACTAGCTCTTACTATTACAGGTGCCTTTATGTATAAAGACTACCTAGGTGTTAAGAGTGGGTCCTACACAAGAAATAAAAAATCTACCGCCCACAGAGGAGGACAAGCATGTGGAGTTGATGGGGTAGTTTTGTGATTGTGGGAGAGAAGAAATCTAGGAAAAATTGTATTTTACTCCTTGAGGTCGGGTCTTTGGGCTAAGACCAGTCCTCATGTTTTTTTTTCTGCTAGGGTCGAGTATAAGACTAGCATTGTAATGTGCGTTTGGATTACGGGACGAATGAGGATAAGATGGGTCAATCCTGTTTTTACCGGTGTTTGGTTAGAGGGCGTCGAGAAATGGGTTGGCCCCGAGCGGAATATACTTTGTCCGGATCGTTCGCTCCTGCCCCCCCCCTCGAAAATGAGCCGACGGGGCCATCCCCAATTAAACATGTCGTTCGGCCATCACGACTTCTCCTTCACGCGAGCGCGTTTGTGGAGGCGCGGCAGCTCATCCCCTCATGGGAACTCGAGCTCGCAAAGGTGCTGTGGGCATGGCGGATTCCCCTCGTGGCGGCCCGAGATCGCGGTGAAGTTTGACAAGAGGAGGCGAGGGCCAGCGGCGACGGACCTCTGCTTCTATCTCTCCGGTCGCACACGGCTTCTCTCTCGATGACACACACAGGCCCTGTTCGCTTGAGCTTATTCGAACTATTTTTCAGCTATGGAGCAGTATTTTTCTCTCACAACATTTCAATATAAGCCAAATTTCAGGATCAGCGAACATGGTGACAGTTTTTCTCCACACATTGCACGCGAAGAAGTTGTGAAAATAAGAAAAATCTGGAGAGGATGACAGGTGAGGTGAGATGGGATCCACAGATGACACCGGCTAACGGTGTCAAAACCGCATCATCCGGTTCCTCGGAATCCCCTCCACCCCCCCAAAAAAAACAAAGATGATCCTATCCCCGTAACCAAACACCTATGGTTAAGGCGTATCCCATCTTATATCATTCTCACACCAAACGAACGCGTAACCTTTGAGGTCGACTCTAGAAAGCTACGATTGTTTGGTACTGTGTGGTTGTTGCGCTATGTGGCTGCAGATTGTTCCCTCATCTCGTGGAGTCTCCATTTGCCGCAGGGTACGGTGGGTGTGTTTCGTGGAGCCTAACATATCCACGTCTCGATCCTGTAATTTAATTGCATATATAAGTATATAACAATAAATAACAGGACACGTACGAGGCTCCACGGACTACTATAAAATCAGGGAGCCACATGGAGTAGTTTAATAGGTCCACAGGCAGCCAAGGAGTGTTCTGCCTCCGATCGCAGCGGTTTGTTTGCTTGCACATTTGCACACAAGTGCAGCGCAGTAGCGGTAAGGCAGCAAGAACACGAGAAGCAGCCAGATCCATCCTTATTGCAACTGTCGGTCGGCCATGGGTTCCTCGACGGCGCAGCAGAAGCCGCACGTCGTGCTGGTGCCGTTCCCGGCGCACGGCCACGTCGCGCCGCACGTGCAGCTCGCGCGCGCCCTCCACGCCCGCGGCGTCCACGCCACGCTCGTCCACACCGAGCTGCACCACCGCCGCCTGCTGCAGGCCGCCAAGGCCGCCGCCGACGATGCTGCCACGGCGGCGCCGGCGGACGAGGCCTTCGCCGTCGAGGTCATCCCGGACGGGCTGTCGCTCGACGACCCGCCGCGCACGCTGCGGGCGGCCCACGAGGCGATGGAGCGCAACTGCCTGGAGCCGTTCAAGGCGCTGCTGCGTGACCTGCTGCTGGGAACCGGCAGGCCCGGCGTGCCGCCGGTCACCTGCGTCGTGGCCGACACCCCGATGCCGTTCGCGGCCGTGGCGGCGCGCGAGGTCGGCGTCCCGGACGTGCAGTTCTTCACGGCGTCCGCGGCCGGCCTCATGGGCTACCTCCAGTTCCAGGAGCTCGTGGCGAGGAGATCGTCCCGCTTAGCCCCGCCTACGAGACCGACGGCTCCCTCGACGCGCCGCTGGACTGGGTGCCCGGGATGAAGGGCGCCCTGCGGCTCAGGGACATGCCCACGTTCTGCCGCACCACGGACGCCGACGACTGGCTGCTGCACTTCCACGTCCACCAGATGAAGATCGCCGCCGCCTCCAAGGCGGTCATCCTCAACACTGTCGACGACATGGAGAAAGACGTCCTCGACGCGCTCGCGCCGCTCCTGCCGCCCATCTACACCGTCGGCCCGCTCGCGAGCGTCGTCGTAGCCTTAGCATCCACGGCGGCGGCGGCCACGACGACGTCCACGATGGGCGTGTTGCAGGAGGACAAGGAGTGCATGGCGTGGCTCGACGGCAAGGCGGCGCGCTCCGTCGTGTACTTCAGCGTCGGCAGCCACGCCAGCATGGGCGACGCGCAGCTGAAGGAGATCGCGTCCGGTCTGGCGCGGTGCGGCTCTCCCTACCTCTGGGTCCTGAGGCCAGAAATGGCCGCCGAGGTCGAGGTCGGCGAGGACGGCCTGGTCGTGCCGTGGTGCCCGCAAGAGGCGGTGCTCAACCACCCGGCCGTGGGGCTGTTCGTCACGCACTGCGGGTGGAACTCCATTCTAGAGAGCGTCGTCGCCGGCGTGCCCGGTGCTCGGATGCCCCGTGCTATCTGAGCAGACGACCAACTGCCGCCAGGTGTGCATGGCGTGGGGCATCGGCGGCGAGCTGCCGCAGGGAGCGGGGAGCGACGAGATAGCGGGGCTCGTGAGGGAGATGATGACCGGGAGGAAGGGGAAGGACGCGAGGGAGAAGACGCTGCTGTGGAAGAGGCTGGCACAACTCAGTGCACAACAAGGCGGCTCATCTTACGATAACATTGGTCGATTGGTGGAGAACATCCTACTCAAGGAGATCTGACTTCAAATCATCGTCGACATCCGAGCAGAGTTTTCATTATCGAAAATAAAAATCTATCAGAGATCATGAATAAAATAGATAAACAAGATGTATAAAAATATCAGAACACATTAAAAAACATTAAATTGTTTTGAAAAAAATTCACATAATTTGACTTGAAACTATTCCTAAACTATTAAACATCAATTGTTCACAGAAAAACAGAAATAAAGCATTATAAATGCGGGATTGTAAGGATGTTTCCCTTATTTTTTTAAAGACAGGAATAAAACATTACTTGTTTGTAAGATATTTCTGTAAGGATGTTCCCCTTATTTATTTTTAAATAGTAAAGTGTATCTCCGGTCCTTAAACTTAAACTTGTTCTTGTTTCTTGTTTCGGGGTGTCATCGTGGTCCTCGATCTCGCAAAATGTAGATTTAGATCCCTAATCACTGTTCAGGTCCCGTCTCCATCCAATTGGACATAGACGAGCTTACCCTGCTGGCGTGTCCTTGCCACCATGTATAGTATGTGGTATTGTTGCGGGAGGTGTTGATGATTTTTTATTTGGAACCCCCTGTAGTTCTCTCTTCTCCATTCTTGGCTCCTTTCCATTACCATTTTGTATGTAGCTTTGAAATCCTTTGTTCACTCAAAATCCCTAGCCATTGCCGTCATGTAAACTCTTTTTGTGGCTGTAGCAGTGAAAGGATCAAGATGCCCAAGAAAGAGGGTGAATTGGGCTAATTCTAAATTGTTTACAATAATTAAACCCTACACTTATCCCACTTTACGCCTTGTGCCTGGAATATATTTCTATTGATCTTACGCACAAAAGATTTACACCCTAGGTTCCAATCCTACTCTAGCATAACAATTCTAGGAATGTAAAGACATGAAATAAATTGCTCAAATGTAAATGCTCAAAGTAAGGAGAGGGAAAGGAACGCGGCGATATTTTTCCAATGTATCGGAGAGTCGCCACTCCCAAGTAGTCCTCATTGGAGCACCCGCGCAAGGGTGTAGCTCCCCCTTGATCTGCGCAAGGATCAAGTGCTCTCTACGGGCTGATTCTTCGACACTCCGTCGCGGTCAATCGCCCACAACCGCTCACAACTTGAGTTGGATCATCCATAAGCTCCGTCGGATGATCACCAAACTCCCAATCACCACCGAGCCGTCTAGGTGACGACGATCACAAAGAGTAACCAGCACAAACTCTCACTTGACCACGACAAGCCTAATGAGAAGGGTGGATGCACACTTGTTACTCACCTTGCACTAATGAGAACCTTAATCTTGGATTCTCAAATCTCAATCACCTCACTCGGCTCTTGCTCTCATTTGCACTCTCAAGGGTGCTTCTCAGTTGAACAAATGGGCAAGAGACCTCCTATGGATGAGTGGAGTAAGTATTTATACCCCCCATTCAAAACATAACGTTTAGAGGTTGAGTCAGCACTCTGCGGGGTGACCGGACGTTCCGGTCAGGGTGACCGGACGCAACGGTCAGTTATCCCCGCCACTGTGTCAGAAAGAGCAGTTAAGTTCTGACCGGACTCTGACCAGCGTCCGGTCATCACTAACCGGACACGTCCAGTCATGAAAAACGCTCTCTGAACCTTACTGATATTGACCAGACGCTGGCACCCAAAGTCCGGTCACTTCACTGTTCAGCATCCGGTCAGTTACCGGATCCTAACCAGCGTCCGGTCAAGAAAATCCTTCTCTCGGAACATTTACGAGTTGACCGGATGCTAACACGCAGCGTCCGGTCCACTTTTACTCATCGTCCAATCAGTACCAGACGACTTCAATTGATCAAATGAACTAACCGGACTCACCCTCCAACGTCCGTCACAACCAGACCAGCGTCCGGTCAATTATTTGACCCTCTATTCACTTCCAACTCGAAATCCTATGTGAATGAAGTTTGCTCCAATTAATCTTAGGGCTACTCCCTGAGCTACCTAGTGCTAGGTTTGACAAGTGTGTACCACACCTAACCCACTAGACTCACCTAGGTCAAGCTACTAGTCTGTAACAGAACCGACCAATTATACGAGATTAAGTAAGAAAATCTTCCGCCGAAGCAGATAATTTAGCAAACTTAAACCCGTATAACCCGGTAGTCCGTAAAACCACGAAGGATTTCAAACCAATCGACATACAAACCAAGATCGTACAAGTTTAGCAACTACCGTCACACGTTACACAAAGTTCACAACGACAATTGATACATCAGAGTTTGAAACATAAAGTTATTACATACCAAGTTCGAACTGAAATAGCGGAAGCAAATAGTTTTAAAGCCACACACACACTTTTGATTCAGATACAGTGCCAGTAGGTAGTCATCTCCAACAAAAGAATCAGATGAGAAATACGGAGTGACCATTTGCCCTTGGTCCTAGTTGTCACCCATCGCCGGATATAGGCAGTTAATGCAATAGTCGTAGGCGCGGAAACTACAGATTGAAAGTCAAATAAAATTCCGGGCGAGGTGCGGGGCAGGCCGGGCCGGCTTGCGGGGCTGGGCCGGAAACGAGGCGGCGGCCCAATAAGGTAAAAACGGGATTTTACAAATTACTTTAAATTCCTTTTTCATTCAAACGAAATTTTGAACTAATTCAGAGCAGTTTCAAACTTTGGCCCAAAAATAAAAGTTGCTCAAAATTTTATTCTCTACAACTTTGCTTTTATGACCAAAGTCAAATTCCAAATATATTTTGAACTACAGATTGAAAGTCAAATAAAATTCCAAAACCCTAGTTTTGAAGAATTAGTTTAAAAGCAAAATTTGGCAAGAATTTAAATAGAAACTTGGCTCCAAATTGTATCCTGATTGTTTATAAGCTATCTTAGTGATCAACCCAAGAAATCATGGCATCCAAACATGAGCATGGCATTCCCACTAGTTTAAACATGATGAATTTCAATCAATTTAAACATCACATGAAATGATACGTCATTTCTTTCGAAATGAAATGCATAAATGATGCTTATGCATAATGAAATGATGATTATGCTCATAAGATGGAATGTTAATGCATGCTTAACACCGAGGTGTTACATAGTCCATACCCCCCTTAATAGTACGGCTAAAGGAAAAACAAAGTCCTAAATTATTCTAAGTGTCTCTTCAACACCAAACAACACTTAGAACTAGTCCGTCCTTAACCTTGTCATCCATCCTTTGAAAACCGAAATGATTTTCATCGATGATGGGGCATGACAACCATGATTACCCAATCAATTGCCATTACCATGACCTAACTCAAATTGCCTCTACAAAATACACGTTAGTCATAGTAATCTCGTGTCGTCATTAATCACCAAAACCTAACTAGGGGCCTAGTTGCTTTCAAGCAGTGGCGAAGCCATCATCGTTATTCATCAGTGGCGCCTAGTACATGCTAGATGGCGGATCTGTGGCAGACTAATGCAGTGGAGGCTATAAATACCCCCTTGTCGATCATTTGAGGTGGATTGGAGCACAAGGAAGTGAAGTGTAGGGTAAATTGAGGAACATCTCTAGTTTCTCTAACCACCAAAGTGGTGCTTTGTGAAATATTTAGGCTAGTTAGACCTTGTATTTGACGCTTGTTTTAGGCTTAGGTATAGTATTTTGTCAGGTTTGCATACTTTTGATGTCGATGCAACGTTCCTTTTTTTGGAATTTTATAAAACTTGGGACACGAGTGATCAGTGATGCCGTCAGTCTTGAATGGTGAAGTAGTAAAATCTTAACATTGAATTGAGATTCTTACAATCTTGTGTGATTCACGGCTATATCAAGGTACAGTTACAATGATTTTACAAACAGCACCAGCTTCAGGGCTCAGGACGATCATGGTAAGAGAACCACATATAGCCCCGAAACGTAGGACTATAGTTCCATATCTCCCTTCTACAAAAGAAAAATGATTTACACTTGTTGGACATCAAATACTTGGCCTCCTCATAAATGATATGTTGAGAAAAATGTTGTGAAGGCTGTCAAGTCTGCCCAGCTTGGGAAGAGGCTCTTCAGTTTCTTTGTACTATCAACAAGATACTGGTCAAGTACCGCGACATCGATTCTCAGACTTTCAGAAGAGTTTGCCTGTCATGATTCAAATCATTTATCAACAAGACATTTCACAACTCATCCAGAAATAATATAACAGCGAGAAGCAAGAAAAGGAGCTCCAACAAAGATTGACAGCCAAACAATTGGGAAAATAACCTCCAGTGATAAAACATCGGCATATCATGGTACATCAAAATGGCACAGGCAAACTAAATAATATGACAACAAAGATTGACAGCCAGGTAATAAAATAAACACATCAACATACCATGGTAACACACAGTAGCAACCCAAATAATATGCCAACAAAGATTGATAACCCAATAAAATAAACACATCATCGTAATTCACAATGGTTGTTGGTCCCTCATTTTGCTGCACAGTAAGCGATAAACTTACCAAAGACACTCATTCACAATGGCTAGAGGTAGAAAAAGAAATTGAGAACAGCTCACACACACAGCACAATCCCAGCGCTGGCCGAAAGTTCTGCTTCTGGACGTGGCAAACACTGAACTGCTCTTTTGCATTGCCTTAGGTGTGATATATATACAAGTGATAGTACCTCTACCAGGTACATAGTGATTGGTGAGTACACCAACTATCTACTCCTAAGGTACACCAACTACTCCTAATACTAGCGGTACTAAGATTAGATCAGCCCACTACCAAGGCATGACTGATGAAATAGCTACCAACTAATGTACTAGAGGTGGCCTATTGCCATAATGCTACAGCAATAGAGATCTGGCAAATGAGTGACCAAATGCCAACTCTGGCTGCGGCAAGAAGAAAGAAAGAGATCACCAGCAGATTATGTCTTACAATTCTTCCCCTAATCCTGTTGCTAACCCGATGCCTTGACCTCATCCATGTCAATCATCTTCCTCAGCTCCATGAACCGCAGGCGCCTGAGTGACTTGGTGAGGATGTCAGCGAGCTGTCTGCCGGTCTCGACGAACTCGATGACGATCTGCCCTCCATCTATGTAGTCCTGGAGAAAGTTAAACTTGATGTCAATGTGCTTGCTCCGGTCATGGAGGATAGGGTTCTTGACGAGGGCGATGGTGGGCTGGTTGTCCACCATCAGAGCTGGCGGGTGAGCTTCCTCGCCGGTCAGCTCGCCCAGCATCTGGCGCAACCAGACAGCCTGGCATGCCACTGTGGCTGCTGCAATGACTCCGCCTCGCACATCGACAGCGCCACAATCTTTTGCTAAAAACAGTGAGCTCCGGCTTACTTTCCTTTGCCTTGGGGGGTGCCTCACTAAAGACAGTGTGCTCCGTCGCCCGCCATGTCTGTGTCGCTGAAAACAGTGAGCTCTGACTTACCTTCCTTTGCTTTGGGGGGTGCCTCACTGAAGACCGTGAGCCACAGCCCACCCTTGGGGAAGATGATCGCTTGATTGAGCATCCCCTTGACGTAGCGCAGCAGCCTCTTCACCGTTGTCCAGTGATCCTCGCGCGGGTTCTCCATGAAGTGACTGACATACCCGACCGCGAATGTGATGTCCGGCCGAGTATGCGTGAGGTAGCGCAGCCCACCAACGATGCTCCGGTAGTGCGTCGTGTCCACCTTCGCCGCCATGCTGTGCTTGGACAGCTTCAGCCGCTCCTCCATTGGAGTTGCGCACGGCTTGCACTCCGCCATGCCGCTACGCTCCATCAGCTTCTCCGCATAGGTGTGCTGGCCTAGGGAGATGTGCTCCTTCCCCTGCCTCACCTCAATGCCGAGGTAGTAGGAGAGCGCGCCGAGATAGCTCATTTTGAAACGAACAGCCATCTCGCACTTGAAGCCATCGATGTCCTCCGCCCACGCTCCAGTGATGATCAAGTCATCCACATACACGCCGACGATGAGCTCCTTCCCCCGTCACCGCGTGTACCCAAGCTCGCCCAAGGTGGTCTGTGGCGCAGTGAGTGAACCCAAGCTCGCCCAAGGTGGCGTCAAGCTTGGCGTTCCACGCCTGAGGGGCCTATCGGAACCCGTAGAGCGCCTTTCATAGCTTGAGCACCTTGTGCTCAGCGCCCTTGACAGCGAAGCCTGGAGCTTGCTTGACGAAGACCGTCTCCGCGAGCTCGCCGTTGAGGAACGTAGACTTGACATCGAGGTGGTGGACGTGCCAATCCTTTGCTGCTGCCATGGCCAACAACAAGCGAACGGACTCCATTCGTGTCACCGGAGCAAAGACTTCCTTGAAGTCGATGCCCTCACGCTGCACGAAGCCGTGGGCGACCAGCCGAGCCTTGTACTTGACAATGACGTCGTGCTCGTCCCGCTTCACCTTGTAGACCCACTTCAACCCGATCGGCCTGCAGCCCACCGATGGATCCACCAGCTCCCATGTCCCGTTGTCCTCGATGGCCTTCATCGCTTCCAACATCACGCGGCGCCAATTGGCGTCACGTTCAGCCACTGCAAACATCGGTGGCTCCTCTGCACTAACAAGGAGCAGCTCTAGGTCGTCGAGAAAACGACTGGCCAACCCAGGAGCTCCCCCTTCGCCGACGATGTTGTCCACCCGCCTGAACCAGACCTCCTCGCCATCGTGGAAAGTGTCCACGTACTCATCGATGTCGGTGGGTGGAAAGGCGAACTCTAGTGGAGGTGTCCCCTATCCTGCCATCGTAGGGGACTGTGCTGGAGGTGAGTGCACCGCTGCTAGTGGAGACTGCTCGCGCGTGCTCACCATGGCTGGACTTGGCTGCTCCTCAGCCGCCAACCGACCTCCTCGCTGTCGTGGAAGGCATCCACGAACTCGTTGATGTCGCTCGAAGGGGAGATGAACTCGATATCGGTGGTCCCCGGCCTCCCTGTTCTGCCGGAGTGGTCGGCATCACTGCTGAACCGCTCGACACCACTGCTGGAGTGGTCGACACCTCCTCTAGTGTGCTCGACACCCCCTCTAGAGTGGTCAGCTCCACTCCTAGGGTGGTCGGCACCTCTTCTCTAGCGTCTCCACCACTGTGGATGACTAAGTGTTCGACGACGAAGGTGCTGCTCAAGCTGCCAGCTTCCCCCGTGCCCGGACCCTCCCAGTCCTAGGTCACCATCTCATCGAACACCATATCCCTAGAGATCACCACCTTGCCTCTCTTGGGATCATAGAGCCGATACGCCTTGGTGCCCTCCTTGTAGCCCAGGAGCACCATCGGCGTGCTCCTATCTTCCAGCTTGCCAAGGTGAGGCTTGGTGTTCTTCACATGGCCGACGCACCAAATGTCCTGAGGAAGGACACATTTGTCTTGCGTCCATGCCAAGCCTCAAACAAAGTCTTGCCCTTCAGGGCCTTGGTGGGCGCACGATTGAGGATGAACACCGCCGTGGTCACTGCCTCTGCCCAGAACTTTGTCGGCATGCTTTTGGCCTTCATCATGGATCGAGCCATGCTGACCACCGTCTGGTTTCGCCGCTCCACCACGCCATTCTGCTGTGGCGAGTACGACGCGGTGTGGTGTCGCACCACACCCTAATCCACGCAGTACGCAGCGAACTCCATCGAAGTGAATTCGCTGCCATGATCAGTCCGTAGCACGCACAGCTTGCCGCTCTCCACCTCCACGCGCGCCTTGAACTTCTTGACTACTTCCGTTGCCTCGGTCTTGCTAGTCAGAAGCTATAGACAGATGAACCGGCTGCAGTCATCCACCAGCTGGTGTTGTTGTTGAAACAGCTTTATATCCTATTGATACAATAAAGACCAGGCTTCAGGTAAGTTGATTCTACATTTGAATGTAGCGTCCTTTTGTTTAGCTTATCATGCAACGATCATTCTGCAAATTGCTCATTCTCAGATGCATGGTAATATGCGTATATTTAATACTCATTAATTCATGGCCCTGCCTGATGCCATTCTTAGTAAATTTAGACCAATGTGTCTCTACAATCTCTTTCGCTACCAAGTCTTCTGGATGTGCTTGTGGCGCCTACAAGACTCTCATGTGTTTTTGAAGTGCCACAGCTTGTATCAGTTTTATTTGCTTACCCTTTGCTGAGGAACCATTTTTTTTGAAGTAACACAGAAGTTCACAGATCAATTTTATGAGATTTGTTTTTCTCATTTTTTTTTATATAGGCTGCACAAGGCGGAAGTAAAAATCATTGGAAAGGCCTGTATGCTGGGTTAGCTGGAAATATTGTCGGTGTTCTTCCGTGAGTATTTAGTATTACAGTGAAAACTGAAGAGGTTTCTTATGCAAGCCTAGAGGATGCTATCATGCTGTTGGCAATACAAGCAGAAGGAATCTGGATGTGTCACCTATGTTTTAGTGTATTGCAGTAATGTGTATTCTTAGCTATTTCTCCCTGATGTTTTTACTGTAGTTCATATTTATATTATTGTGGTTTTATCGTTTCCATATTGTATTGAGGTGTTACTAGTCCATGATCTTATTTCCAAGGTCAATGTCTAGTTACATTCCTGACATATACTGCTATATCTGTATTGAGAATATGAGACCCTGATTGTATCATAGTTATCGGTTTTTTCCATATATATCTGCTTCATTGCGATTTCTCTGAGCCACTTCATATTTGTTACAGTGCTTCCGCAATTTTTGTTGGAGTATATGAGCCAGCTAAAAGAAAACTACTGGAAATATTTCCTGAAAATTTGAGTGCTATTGCTCATTTGGTATGTCAGCAGAAAAACTATCTTCATAGTCCTGTTGATTTATTAATTTGGAGTATATGGAATTACTCGGTGCCAAATTAAATTGGATAGTTGAAAAAAAATACTACTATTAAGCTAGTGATATAACCTTTCAAACCTTTTGCCTTACAAATTACAATGAATTTGTTTTGTGTTCTGAAGATATGTGCAAAAGACTGCAGGGGCAATTGGAGGGGCTGCTGCTTCTCTCATTCGTGTTCCCACAGAGGTCAGTTTTGTTCATTCTTCCCTTGGCACTTCAAATGTTACCACAATTTGAATTGAAATTCACTGGATTCAGGTGGTTAAACAAAGAATGCAAATGAGTCAGTTCAAGACTGCACCTGATGCCGTTCGCCTTATTGTCGCTAAAGAAGGAATTAAAGGACTTTATGCCGTATGTATCTTTCAGTCATATGGAAATTTCCTTTGTTTCATATTTTAATTCTGATGAATTACGTCTACTAGGATGATCAATATTTTCATTTTTGCCATGTAAATTCTAATTTCAGTGGCTCATCAGTTTTACGAACACGTGTCATTCGGTTTGCAGGATATGGTTCCTTTCTACTGCGAGATCTGCCATTTGAGGCCATTCAATTTTGCATATATGAGCAGCTCCGAATTGGTTATCGATTAACGGTATTTATCTCACTTATATTTGATGAATCTAACGTATTGTTTATGAAAAATTCCATGTTCTTTTGAACCAGCATGTTCTGATTGACTGTTAGTTCAGAATGGGATAACTACCTATCTGAGGAGGCTAGATGATTGTGCTCGAAGTGATTAGGGATTTGAATGGAAGTTGAATCAGTATGATAAGAGAACCGAATAGCATGGAAAGAGTAATTCATTCTTCCTGTTTAATCACAATGATATCCCTTCAGAAAGGATGACATGGCTTTGACTTACTATAAAACATTATCTAAATTAAAAAGGAAATACCTAAGCAATGGTAATTGTGTAAACTAACAAAATCAATCAAACTCTAATAAAGGGGAGTAAAAATATTAGTGACAAATGCTGTAGTTTTATATTGCCCATGAACAAAGGAAAAATAATGTATTCAAAGTGAATGCATCTAACATTCAAGATAAACCCAAACAAGATACTAATGCAGTATTGCTGATGACAGAAGTACCCAATCAAGACCACAAAATCCATATCAATCATAGCAGCTTGACTCCAGGATAACTGTGGCCTCCCTATTGTTTCTGAATTCTTCATATCCATTGTCACCTCTTGATTTATTGTTTCCCAGTTACCTCCCAAAAACTACACTTAATTTATGGCTTCAAGGTGCCTCCATTATTTGTGAAAGAGATCTTATGGCTTGCTTCATTGCTAGTGTCTGCAAGCTTGGATTTCTATAACACAGGATGGGTCGAATCCAACTGCTGTTTCCAGCAAGAGGATAATTATAGCCATTGGAAACTGCATCCCGTTATTTTTTTTGTTCTGTTGGTACACATGGGATGTGGGAGTGTGATAGTTTTATTATCACTTCTCTTTTATTTTTAGTAAGTTTATACTGGCTTGTCATGGCTAAGTTCAAACCTTAATGTACATTAATAACTTTTGTATTCAAGTTCTATTTCTGTCATTACCTCTCTTTTAGTTGTCATTTAAACTTGAGCAATTGCTTTGAGCCAAAATAGAGCTTGGTAAACGCAAACACACAACTAGCTATTCGGAACCAGAATTGATATATCCTAGGACTGCTAGCACATATTTACCGAGTCTTGACTTTCTTGTGGATCCAGGCTAAGAGGGAGTTGAAAGACGCAGAGAATGCAATTATTGGTGCTTTTGCTGGTACAACTGAACTTCCATACTAGGCTAGTTTCCAGTATATTCCAGTTTGCTGTTCTTTCCTGTCTTTTCTCAAGATTGTGCACATTTGCTATTCTATAAGCATTTATACCAATATTTCTTTGAAGTTTTCTTACAGTTTTGTGCATATATGTATTCTGTAATCAATGATTAAAAAAGGTTCCCGTCAATCTTTCTCATCTCTTTACCAAAGTTACTTTTGGCTTTTCAAGTGCAATCACCTTTTAGGGTGCAATCGTGAAATCATTATCTGTTCAGACACCAAAATGACATGAAAGAAGGCACAGGAAAATTCTAGCTTGGCTTCTCAATGTGTTCTACCTGCGTTTAAAAATTAAGTTTAGATCCATTCTTGTTACAAGTAACAGAGAAGTTCTGGCTGATCATAAATCAGATGGAAGAAACACAAGTTACAACCTTCAACTTTTCAGCCATCTAATTTATCCTTAAATTGCCATACCCTTTGTACCCTCGAACTGTCATTGTCTAATATATGCACCCAAAACCACAATCCAGTTTTGGTTGGCTGACATGGCACCAATATGCTGGTTGTTTTGACTTACAGGTGACGATTGCCCTCCCCATTTGGCATACATAAGTAACTTCATTTTTTTTAAAGATTGCATCAGTAGCTGATTCCACTCCCTATATCCTTAATTTATCATACACTTATATTGGCATATTTAGTATGGTAGCTTAAGTGCCCACTTCGTAGTGTCAGGTGCCATTACTGGCGCTTTAACAACACCCCTCGATGTCATGAAGACAAGATTGATGATTCAGGTGGATCTTGTGACTGCATGAACTCTTCGACCTGATGGCACTTGTTAGGGATCACCACTGCTTATTTCGAAGTTTCCTCTGATTCCAGGGACAAGCAAACCAATATAGAGGTTTCATTGATTGTGCTCAGACTGTCATGCGAGAGGAAGGTGCTGGCGCATTTCTGAAGGTAAAACTTTTGCATTCACAGTAGACACAGTAACAAGAACTTGCACGGGTTCACATTGATGATTAGAAAAAACATGCATTTACATCACGTCACATTTCAAATGTGGGGTCCACATTTGAAACATCTTTGCTTGTTTATATGTCTTCTATCTCTATAAAGCAATATAATAGAATATCTGGACCACAACTATAAATAGGCACTTGCGAATGCTGGGTCCTGGGTACGCGCAATTCGATTGATATCTTTCTGGTTGCAGGGTATTGAGCCAAGGGTACTATGGATTGGCATTGGCGGGTCAATCTTCTTTGGTGTTCTGGAGAAAACAAAATCGATTCTAGCTGAGAGGAATATCCGTAGGTGAGAGGATGAATGAAAGCTTTTGGCATCATGATCATTTAGCTAGTGCACGAGGTGGAAGTGCGCCTGCCCAGATTTTGTAGCCCGAGTTTCCCTTTCTATTCTGTTCCATTTGAGCAACGTTGATGGATTGGAAGTCTCCTTTTGCGTGATAACTAGCTAGCTGGCTTTTTTTCTAAAAAAAAGTACAATCGGTTGTATTTTTTGATAACGTACCATCGGTTGTATTAAAATGAGAAAAGTATGCATTATCCTAGATTGATTTGTTAGGAGGTGATAAATGCCCTGGACTATTGGTTCAGATAATTAAGCAGAGCAACAAGTTTGTTACGGTGACAGCGCCCTCCACTCCCTCTGGCCCTCCACTCCCTCGTGTGACAGCGCCCTCAGTGTCGGGGTTTCAAGCCCCTCCTCTCACCTCGTATGATACAACTAGAGTCTCTTTATATCCTTGTTAATTGATATGACTAGACTATGGTAAAAAGTATCATTCAACAACTTATTTAATTAGATCTTCAAATATAGCCATTATTTATTATGGATTCCTCGTTAACTAAAGATAGAGAGTGGGGCTGGTTCTCTAGAGTACGCACAAGATATATGTTGAACGGTGGAAATGTGAGGACTTCACCCTGACCGTCTAGTTAGTACCCGCGCTTAGGTGAGGCTCAAAAGGTTTGGGGAACATTTGCTTGAAAACATAATATGATTAGGGTTTAGAACACTTAAACGAGAATTGGGGCAACGTTGTGCTCCCACAGACGGTCCGGTAGTGAGGCCTGGATGGTCCGCCAGAGCCTAGGGTTTTCTGTGCGAGATTCCATAGGCCCATTGTTCTCGCAAATGGTCCGGTGGGATCTCCCAAATGTTTCGACAGGGATCGGGATGTCCTTTTGTGTGTCGTTTTCTTCTTCAGCCAATGTCAAAAGCTGAGCCACCACGCCCACCACGTGCTCGTGCCTTCCAGGTCGTCATTAAATCGCCCACGTGCTTCCACACATGCTTCTCCAACATGTTTAAGGGTAAGCCTCAATTCTTTTGTCCAACTTTGCTTTTTCTCCGTTGATTCAAACTTAGGGGTGACCCAATCTACTTTTTGGCCATGGATTTGGAGTGGAAGATGTTAGGGATCTTAGGAGAACACTTGAGCAAAGTTTGATGAACCATAATTGATTAGAACTTGAGATATTGCAAGATTTGTGATTCACGGTTACTGTGCACGCTATAACTGTAAAACAGTCCGAGAGTGCCTTCACTACAAGAAATGTGTGGTTTTTTTGACATTCTATTTATGTCAAAATATATGGAATTAATGTCACAACTTAAGATTTGTGACTTTCAGTTGACGAAAATTCGAAAGTTAAAAAACCACCGTCACAAATTGATCATGTGGCGTTTGTATATTTATTGTCACAAACTTATGACAATGGATTTTAGTGTCATATAGGTTTATGACTTTGGTTTATTGTCATAAAATCTTAGGCCTTGCCACATTGGGCAAATGTCACGTAGGATCAAAAGATGACATGACATTGACATGGCAGGAAAAAATGTCACAAGATGAATTTTGGCCTGCTAAAGCCCACATAGCAGGCAACCTCTTCATGGGCCACAAGTTTTTTTGGACTGATATTGCCTGGCCCATTATTTCATTTTCGTTTTTTGGCCCATATTTTTTTATGATTGTAGCCCATACAATTTTTCAGCCCACACAATTTTAGCCCATACAAGCCCACACAATTCAGCCTATATTTTTTTCAGCCCACATATTTCAACCTGTACAATTTTTTCAGCCTGCACAATTCAGCCTATATATTTTTTCAGCCCATACATTTTTTTCTAGTCCACACAATTCAGCCCATACATTTTTTTCAGCCCCACACAGAAACTTTTTAGCCCATACAGTATGCAATATTTCAGCACATACAATTGCATTCATATAATTTTCAACTCATACAAAAAAGTCAGATTTAGATGAATCAACATCTCCACATATGATTGCAATATCACAAGCATTCCATAAGTCTTAAAATTATATGAGCTCATTTACGCGATCATTCATTGCATCAGCTTTGGCATTTCTCTTCATCGCTGCGGACTGCATACCAACATTGCGAAGAAAAGTTGATTTTGGCAGAACATGAGCTACAGCTTGAACAAGAGTCTTGGAATCTTGCCCTTCTTCTGTTGGTTGAGCAACACATATGCCTCCATTTGAGCCTAGCAACAATAAAGCAAAAAAAATTAGATTTCAATGCTAGTTATGTATATCTAGAACAATACATATGTAATGATGTCTATATGGAAAGCAACATAGTGGAAGAAATGGAATGATGTCTATAGAATGGAACCTTCTATACTAGTTATGTGTGTCCAGAAGGTATATATGTAATGATGTCTATATGGAATAAAGATTTGTGCAAACATTTTTCTTTTGGTATAAAGATCTGTGCAAACAATGGAGGAAATCAACTTCCATGCTGGTATAAAGATCTGTGTAGCCATTTTTCTTTTGGTTTATTTCTCTGAACATGCTAAGTTGAATGTGGCAATCTAGTGGATGTCAAGAAGTTTACCACATATTCATCCATGCATGCCACACAAAATTTGACAAATAGAAGCATGACCATGACATTAAAAAATTGTAGAGTAAGAAATTATACATGACCATGACATTAAGAAATTATACCATATGGAAGCACCACTGCATTTCATTCTCAGGTACTCATCAAGGCAGAGACTTATGACTCTATCTATCCAGGCTTACAATGTGTCTAGGCCAACTACATTCTGATGTGCTCATCAAGGCCAAGTTTCATTCTCATGTACTGATCTGTTGTGTTGTTCATCATAGTAAGAAATAGGGAAAGGTACTCACGATGGCATCCTTCGCTTGCTAATTAAAACCTGACTTGCTACTGCAGTGGGTGTCCTTAAAAATATCAATCATAGTTGGTGGCGCATCCTTAAATTTGGTTTGCTTCTGAAATTACATACAAACAGAAAAGTAAATAACTAAAAGCATGTGGAGTTATTTGTAGCAGCAGCCCAGCACAACAGTAGCAACACAATAGCAGCAGCAGCACAGTAAATAACAAAAAAGTAAATTACATATAGCAGCAGCACAGTAAATAATAGAAAAGTAAATTACATACAACGGCAGCACAGTAGCAGCAGCATTAACATTTAATTTTTGTATCCTAAGGTAGCATAACAGCAGCAGTAGCTTCACATTTATTTACTCACAAAGATTTCATTAAAACTGACATGCTATAAATCTAAAACTGTATGTTTGATTTCCATTAATATGTTCTAACATGCCATAATTCTAAAACTATAGTCGTGCCTATATATGACAGAGTTATAATCATGCCTATTCAGGTGGATTACACCATAAGTCCTTATATTTGTGGACAAATTTTGAATCAAGTTCTTGTATTTGTGGACGGAGGGAGTAAGATACATGTAGAGTATTTGAATTCAATTATATAGGCAAGATTTTAGGAAGGACTATAAGCTAATAAAAATTCAATGAGCAGCAGTAAAAATAGATATCAAATTGAAATAGACAACAATAACAGACTGCTAACAAAAGGTAAATCCAAAAGCTTCAGAAAATATGAGGCACACTTGAGAGTTCAGTGAGTTTGCACTAAGAGCAGTTTATGCTTCAGGGTAGGAAAGGATTGGAAGATAGCTATGATACACTTCTATATGAGTTATAATACAAATAATTTCAATTAATCTACAGGTAGGACCGTAAAAGCTCATGTAGAGTGCCTAGGATCTGGTCAACGACACAACACCAAGGAACTTTACCAAGTGTTTACGGGCTAGCATCAGCAGGCAATTTCAATATTCAATCATTAATAACACCTCAAAAGAGTACAATGTCATAGCTCATAGTTCAGTATAACAAAAGTGTAGACACATATATAGTTCAGTAAACTTGAAAGTATGCTAGCTAGACCCGAAAATCTAATATGCAACATCTCCCATCAGTCACTGTCACAAGAACATAGGCTTAGAGTATGCATCATTTGTAGGTAGTATTAAATGCAGCCTGATTCCCATCCCAACCTATGAAGGTAATACAACATCAACATGCCCTTAAAACCATGTCTAGTGGTTAATTTCCTATGCAAAGAAGAGAACCTCAGTTCATTCAGGTTATGGGTGAACACAAAAGTACTGAGATGTGAAGAACACATAACAACAATCAATGTTATGCCTCAGCGACTCATGCCATCTAGAGGCAACAACAAATGCAGCCGAATCGGATACCAATCTGCCATGTTGCTAGAAACAAAGGTGCGAGTAACGTGCTGTCAAAATTTCTGGTTAAAACACTCCCTCCATTTCCCTAAAAAAGTCGTTTTGGACATCGACACGGTCTCTAAAAACAACTTTGATCACTACTTTTTGCTATAAAATATTTATAAAATATAGTCAATATATACTTTTATAAAACTACATTTGGAGATGAATACTTACGCCACTTTCATATTTTCAAACTCAACCCAAAAGAATATATTTGTAGTCAAAGTTTAAAATATTTAACTTAAACAACCTCAAAACAACTTTCTTTAAAACATGGAGGAAAACTAGCTAATGGCTTATCTGAATAAACTCAATCCATATATATGGGCTACCGCTTCCCGTGAGGGTGCAAACTCCAGGTCGTCATATATTCTAGCAGCTTTTTAGAAAGTCAGTGTAAGAAAAAAGTAATTTAAGTACATTTTCGATTGAAGTGCTCAAAGTTTGACCAAATATATAGATAAAATATTAACATTTATAACATCAAATAAATATATTATAAAAATATGTTTGATCATGAATCTAATGGTATCTATTTAGCATGATAAATATTATTAAATTTGGTTAAACTTGCAAACTTTAACGTTCTATTTTTTGTGGGACGAAGGAAGTACCTTCGAGGAACACATTGGACAGCGGTAGTGCACGAAAAAATATGCAGTGGAAAGCACATACTAAGTGGAAATGCATGCAAACTAGTTTTAAAAAATGCATTCTGTAACTCTAAAAAATTTGAAACTTAACACATATGTAGTGCATATACATATTTACTCACATGTAAAATTTGGGTTGCAAACCCATTTAGAAAAAAACATACAAAAATCACAAATTTCACTTGTATGAGCACTACAGGACAAAAAATCAGGATTTTTGTCTTCTAGCATACATGCAAATAAATTTTGTTATTTTCAAATGAATTTTTCATAAAAGACTTTGCATCTCAACTTTTTGTATGAGTTCACGTATGGATGATTGTACATGTACTAAGTTTCAAATTTTTGAAAGTTACTGAAAGTGCATTTTTTAAACTAGTTTCCATGTTTCCACCGAGCATGTGGTTTCCACCATATATTTTAAATTAGTTTGCATGTTTTTACCTAACCTAATATATGGTTTTCACCACATATTTTTTTCTTCGTGTGGGCCATTCACGATAGAAAATCAGTTCATTCTTAACCTAGGCCATCCCTACGGTGGTTGGCGATCGTATTCACTGTGATGATATATTATTTTAATTTGATGCATCAACTCATATTTTTAATTTGATGCCTCGACTCATGTTTTGGAGTCGGCTTCTAACAATTTGCATGCATCGGTTGTTCTGCATAGGTCATGCATTGATTTATTGGATGCCAACTCATCCCACGAGTCACTTTTGCAGAGTCCACCTTAGAAGCCAAGGTCAGTTACATATTTGTTTCTCGTTGGGTATCCGTAGCGTTTAAGACATTCAAAGGCCTTAAGGAGGGTCCACCTAACATAAGGCCTTATCCTTTTAAGGCAGCTCCAACAAATGTCTTTTGAGTTAACTCCAAGTATTTTTTTGTATTTTAATAAAAAAGAGAGAAAAACTAGCTCTTTATCAAGAGCGCACACATTTCAAGATTATGTGAGAGTATCATGTGGGACTACCATGTTATAAGCTATGTGCTAAAAGTTAGCACTATTGAAGAAGTTATCTTAGAGCTAGTAACTAGCTCTTACTATTACAGGTGCCTTTATGTATAAAGACTACCTAGGTGTTAAGAGTGGGTCCTACACAAGAAATAAAAAAATCTACCACCCACAGAGGAGGACAAGCATGTGGAGTTGATGGGGTAGTTTTGTGATTGTGGGAGAGAAGAGAATCTAGGAAAAATTGTATTTTACTCCTTGAGGTCGGGTCTTTGGGCTAAGACCAGTCCTCATGTTTTTTCTGCTAGGGTCGAGTATAAGACTAGCATTGTAATGTGCGTTTGGATTACGGGACGAATGAGGATAAGATGGGTCAATCCTGTTTTTACCGGTGTTTGGTTAGAGGACGTCGAGAAATGGGTTGGCCCCTGAGCGGAATATACTGTCCAGATGCGTTACGCTCCTGCCCCCCCTCGAAAATGAGCCGACGGGGCCATCCCCAATTAAACATGTCGTTCGGCCATCACGACTTCTCCTTCGCGCGAGCGCGTTTGTGGAGGCGCGGCAGCTCATCCCCTCATGGGAACTCGAGCTCGCAAAGGTGCTGTGGCATGGCGGATTCCCCCTCGTGGCGGCCCGAGATCGCGGTGAAGTTTGACAAGAGGAGGCGAGGGCCAGCGGCGACGGACCTCTGCTTCTATCTCTCCGGTCGCACACGGCTTCTCTCTCGATGACACACACAGGCCCTGTTCGCTTGAGCTTATTCAGAACTATTTTTCAGCTATGGAACAGTATTTTTCTCTCACAACATTTCAATATAAGCCAAATTTCAGGATCAGCGAACATGGTGACAGTTTTTCTCCACACATTGCACGCGAAGAAGTTGTGAAAATAAGAAAAATCTGGAGAGGATGACAGGTGAGGTGAGATGGGATCCACAGATGACACCGGCTAACGGTGTCAAAACCGCATCATCCGGTTCCTCGGAATCCCCCTCCAACCCCCCAAAAAAAAAACAAAGATGATCCTATCCCCGTAACCAAACACCTATGGTTAAGGCGTATCCCATCTTATATCATTCTCACACCAAACGAACGCGTAACCTTTGAGGTCGACTCTAGAAAGCTACGATTGTTTGGTACTGTGTGGTTGTTGCGCTATGTGGCTGCAGATTGTTCCCTCATCTCGTGGAGTCTCCATTTGCCGCAGGGTACGGTGGGTGTGTTTCGTGGAGCCTAACATATCCACGTCTCGATCCTGTAATTTAATTGCATATATAAGTATATAACAATAAATAACAGGACACGTACGAGGCTCCACGGACTACTATAAAATCAGGGAGCCACATGGAGTAGTTTAATAGGTCCACAGGCAGCCAAGGAGTGTTCTGCCTCCGATCGCAGCGGTTTGTTTGCTTGCACATTTGCACACAAGTGCAGCGCAGTAGCGGTAAGGCAGCAAGAACACGAGAAGCAGCCAGATCCATCCTTATTGCAACTGTCGGTCGGCCATGGGTTCCTCGACGGCGCAGCAGAAGCCGCACGTCGTGCTGGTGCCGTTCCCGGCGCACGGCCACGTCGCGCCGCACGTGCAGCTCGCGCGCGCCCTCCACGCCCGCGGCGTCCACGCCACGCTCGTCCACACCGAGCTGCACCACCGCCGCCTGCTGCAGGCCGCCAAGGCCGCCGCCGACGATGCTGCCACGGCGGCGCCGGCGGACGAGGCCTTCGCCGTCGAGGTCATCCCGGACGGGCTGTCGCTCGACGACCCGCCGCGCACGCTGCGGGCGGCCCACGAGGCGATGGAGCGCAACTGCCTGGAGCCGTTCAAGGCGCTGCTGCGTGACCTGCTGCTGGGAACCGGCAGGCCCGGCGTGCCGCCGGTCACCTGCGTCGTGGCCGACACCCCGATGCCGTTCGCGGCCGTGGCGGCGCGCGAGGTCGGCGTCCCGGACGTGCAGTTCTTCACGGCGTCCGCGGCCGGCCTCATGGGCTACCTCCAGTTCCAGGAGCTCGTGGCGAGGGAGATCGTCCCGCTTAGCCCCGCCTACGAGACCGACGGCTCCCTCGACGCGCCGCTGGACTGGGTGCCCGGGATGAAGGGCGCCCTGCGGCTCAGGGACATGCCCACGTTCTGCCGCACCACGGACGCCGACGACTGGCTGCTGCACTTCCACGTCCACCAGATGAAGATCGCCGCCGCCTCCAAGGCGGTCATCCTCAACACTGTCGACGACATGGAGAAAGACGTCCTCGACGCGCTCGCGCCGCTCCTGCCGCCCATCTACACCGTCGGCCCGCTCGCGAGCGTCGTCGTAGCCTTAGCATCCACGGCGGCGGCGGCCACGACGACGTCCACGATGGGCGTGTTGCAGGAGGACAAGGAGTGCATGGCGTGGCTCGACGGCAAGGCGGCGCGCTCCGTCGTGTACTTCAGCGTCGGCAGCCACGCCAGCATGGGCGACGCGCAGCTGAAGGAGATCGCGTCCGGTCTGGCGCGGTGCGGCTCTCCCTACCTCTGGGTCCTGAGGCCAGAAATGGCCGCCGAGGTCGAGGTCGGCGAGGACGGCCTGGTCGTGCCGTGGTGCCCGCAAGAGGCGGTGCTCAACCACCCGGCCGTGGGGCTGTTCGTCACGCACTGCGGGTGGAACTCCATTCTAGAGAGCGTCGTCGCCGGCGTGCCGGTGCTCGGATGCCCGTGCTATCTGAGCAGACGACCAACTGCCGCCAGGTGTGCATGGCGTGGGGCATCGGCGGCGAGCTGCCGCGGGGAGCGGGGAGCGACGAGATAGCGGGGCTCGTGAGGGAGATGATGACCGGGAGGAAGGGGAAGGACGCGAGGGAGAAGACGCTGCTGTGGAAGAGGCTGGCTCAACTCAGTGCACAACAAGGCGGCTCATCTTACGATAACATTGGTCGATTGGTGGAGAATATCCTACTCAAGGAGATCTGACTTCAAATCATCGTCGACATCCGAGCAGAGTTTTCATTATCGAAAATAAAAATCTATCAGAGATCATGAATAAAATGGATAAACAAGATGTATAAAAATATCAGAACACATTAAAAAACATTAAATTGTTTTGAAAAAATTCACATAATTTGACTTGAAACTATTCCTAAACTATTAAACATCAATTGTTCACGAAAAAAGAAAAATAAAGCATTATAAATGCGGGATTGTAAGGATGTTTCCTTATTTTTTAAAGACAGGAATAAAACATTACTTGTTTGTAAGATATTTCTGTAAGGATGTTCCCCTTATTTATTTTTAAATAGTAAAGTGTATCTCCGGTCCTTAAACTTAAACTTGTTCTTGTTTCTTGTTTCGAGGTGTGTCATCGTGGTCCTCGATCTCGCAAAATGTAGATTTAGATCCCTAATCACTGTTTCAGGTCCCGTCTCCATCCAATTGGACATAGACGAGCTTACCTCTGCTGGCGTGTCCTTGCCACCATGTATAGTATGTGGTATTGTTGCGGGAGGTGTTGATGATTTTTATTTGGAACCCCTGTAGTTCTCTCTTCTCCATTCTTGGCTCCTTTTCATTACCATTTTGTATGTAGCTTTGAAATCCTTTGTTCACTCAAAATCCCTAGCCATTGCCGTCATGTAAACTCTTTTTTGTGGTCAGAGCAGTGAAAGGATCAAGATATCCAAGAAGGAGGGTGAATTGGGCTAATTCTAAATTGTTTACAATAATTAAACCCTACACTTATCCCACTTTACGCCTTGTGCCTGGAATATATTTCTATTGATCTTACGCACAAAAGATTTACACCCTAGGTTCCAATCCTACTCTAGCATAACAATTCTAGGAATGTAAAGACATGAAATAAATTGCTCAAATGTAAATGCTCAAAGTAAGGAGAGGGAAAGGAACGCGATATATTTTCCCAATGTATCGAGAGTCGCCACTCCCAACTAGTCCTCGTTGGAGCACCCGCGCAAGGGTGTAGCTCCCCCTTGATCTGCGCAAGGATCAAGTGCTCTCTACGGGCTGATTCTTCGACACTCCGTCGCGGTCAATCGCCCACAACCGCTCACAACTTGAGTTGGATCATCCATAAGCTCCGTCGGATGATCACCAAACTCCCAATCACCACCGAGCCGTCTAGGTGACGACGATCACAAAGAGTAACCAGCACAAACTCTCACTTGACCACGACAAGCCTAATGAGAAGGGTGGATGCACACTTGTTACTCACCTTGCACTAATGAGAACCTTAATCTTGGATTCTCAAATCTCAATCACCTCACTCGGCTCTTGCTCTCATTTGCACTCTCAAGGGTGCTTCTCAGTTGAACAAATAGTCAAGAGACCTCCTATGGATGAGTGGAGTAAGTATTTATACCCCCCATTCAAAACATAACGTTTAGAGGTTGAGTCAGCACTCTGCGGGGTGACCGGATGCAACGGTCAGTTATCCCCGCCACTGTGTCAGAAAGAGCAGTTAAGTTCTGACCGGACTCTGACCAGCGTCCGGTCATCACTAACCGGACACGTCCAGTCACGAAAAACGCTCTCTGGAACCTTACTGATATTGACCAGACGCTGGCACCCAAAGTCCGGTCACTTCACTGTTCAGCATCCGGTCAGTTACCGGATCCTAACCAGCGTCCGGTCAAGAAAATCCTTCTCTAGAACATTTCTGGAGTTGACCGGATGCTAACACGCAGCGTCCGGTCCACTTTTACTCATCGTCCAATCAGTACCAGACGACTTCAATTGATCAAATGAACTAACCGGACTCACCCTCCAACGTTCGTCACAACCAGACCAGCGTCCGGTCAATTATTTGACCCTCTATTCACTTCCAACTCGAAATCCTATGTGAATGAAGTTTGCTCCAATTAATCTTAGGGCTACTCCTGAGCTACCTAGTGCTAGGTTTGACAAGTGTGTACCACACCTAACCCACTAGACTCACCTAGGTCAAGCTACTAGTCTGTAACAGAACCGACCAATTATACGAGATTAAGTAAGAAAATCTTCCGCCGAAGCAGATAATTTAGCAAACTTAAACCCGTATAACCCGGTAGTCCGTAAAACCACGAAGGATTTCAAACCAATCGACATACAAACCAAGATCGTACAAGTTTAGCAACTACCGTCACACGTTACACAAAGTTCGCAACGACAATTGATACATCAGAGTTTGAAACATAAAGTTATTACATACCAAGTTCGAACTGAAATAGCGGAAGCAAATAGTTTTAAAGCCACACACACACTTTTGATTCAGATACAGTGCCAGTAGGTAGTCATCTCCAACAAAAGCATCAGATGAGAAATACGGAGTGACCATTTGCCCTTGGTCCTAGTTGTCACCCATCGCCGGATATAGGCAGTTAATGCAATAGTCGTAGGCGCGGAAACTACAGATTGAAAGTCAAATAAAATTCCGGGCGAGGTGCGGGGCAGGCCGGGCCGGCTTGCGGGGCTGGGCCGGAAACGAGGCGGCGGCCCAATAAGGTAAAAACGGGATTTTACAAATTACTTTAAATTCCTTTTTCATTCAAACGAAATTTTGAACTAATTCAGAGCAGTTTCAAACTTTGGCCCAAAAATAAAAGTTGCTCAAAATTTTATTCTCTACAACTTTGCTTTTATGACCAAAGTCAAATTCCAAATATATTTTGAACTACAGATTGAAAGTCAAATAAAATTCCAAAACCCTAGTTTTGAAGAATTAGTTTAAAAGCAAAATTTGGCAAGAATTTAAATAGAAACTTGGCTCCAAATTGTATCCTGATTGTTTATAAGCTATCTTAGTGATCAACCCAAGAAATCATGGCATCCAAACATGAGCATGGCATTCCCACTAGTTTAAACATGATGAATTTCAATCAATTTAAACATCACATGAAATGATACGTCATTTCTTTCGAAATGAAATGCATAAATGATGCTTATGCATAATGAAATGATGATTATGCTCATAAGATGGAATGTTAATGCATGCTTAACACCGAGGTGTTACAGCCCTCCCCACTTATAAGAATCTCGTCCCGAGATTTTGAGTTACGAACCATTTGTTATAAAAATCCTTATAAGCGTTTTGAAGATACTCTCCTGTTTCCCACGTCGCATCACCATCATCGTGATGACTCCACTGTATCTTATATGTTCTCACCACTTTATTCCAAGTGACTATGTCCTTAGTGTCCAAAACTCGAACCGGTTGCTCATGGTATTCCAAGTCTGATTTGAGCTGAATGCTCTGAGGTTCTATTCTCTCTTCCAGAATATGCAAGCACTTCTTCAACTGTGATACATGGAAGACTAGAAAGATCGAACCCATCGCTTCTGGTAACTGTAACTTATAAGCCACGGGACCCTTCTTTTCTATGATCTTGTACGGTCCTACAAATCTAGGAGCAAGTTTTCTCTTTACTCCAAACCTTTGTACCTTTTTCATTGGAGTAACCTTCAGATAAACGTAGTCACCTACTTCAAACTCAAGAGGTCTCCTCCTCTTATCGGCATAGCTCTTCTGGCGTGACTGTGCCGCTTTCATGTTTTGTTGGATAATATGGACCTTTTTCTCAGCCTCGTCAACAAAATCAATTCCGTAAAACCTTCTCTCTCCAGGCTCAGCCCAATTCAATGGTGTCCTACATTTCCTGCCATACAATGCTACAAATGGAGCCATCTTGATACTTTCTTGGTAACTGTTGTTGTAAGCGAATTCTACCAAAGGTAACCATGATTCCCATGAACCCTTACACGATAACACACAAGCTCTAAGCATATCTTCTAGAACAGCGTTAACTCGCTCTGTCTGCCCATCTGTCTGTGGGTGGTAAGCCGTACTACGGATCAAGCTAGTACCCAACCCTTTATGAAGATGCTCCCAAAAATGAGCGGTAAATTGGGACCCACGGTCAGACACGATAGTCTTTGGTATACCATGTAATCGGACAATCTCTGCAATATACTTCTCAGCATACTGAGGTGGTCGGAAAGTTGTTTTGACTGGTAAAAAGTGAGCTGATTTGGTAAGGCGATCTACGATTACCCAAATTGAATCATCCCCCTTTTGTGTGGTAGGGAATCCGGTGATAAAATCCATACTTATATAATCCCATTTCCAATCTGGTATTGACAAAGGTTGCAACATTCCTACGGGTCTCATGTGAAGAGCCTTCATTCTACAACACATGTCGCAACGAGCAACATAAGCTGCAATCTCCTTCTTCATTTTTGTCCACCAATAACGAGGTCTCAATTCTTGGTACATTTTGTTACTTCCAGGATAGATAGATAACTTAGAGTGATGAGCTTCATCCATCAATTTGTTCTTGAGCTCTCGATCTTTAGGTACAACTAGACGGTCCTTAAACCATAGCACTCCGTGTTCATCCACTCTAAATTTCCTAGTCGGTTCTCTCTTCATTTTCTCCTTGATATGGAATATTCCTTTATCTGTTTTCTGACCCTCAATGATCTTGCTCTCCAAGGTACAGCTAACCTGGATGTTATGCAACACTACAGGATGTAACAAGTTGAACGCATCCTCAAACAATGGTTGCACAGCAATAAAATGTGACTTCCTACTTAAGGCATCTGCTACTACATTTGCCTTTCCCGGATGATAGTGCACATTCAGATTATAATCCTTTATCAGCTCTAACCATCTTCTCTATCGCATATTCAACTTAGACTGAGTAAATATGTACTTGAGACTCTTATGATCTGTAAAGATATTGCACACACTCCCAAGCAAGTAGTGTCTCCAAATCTTTAGAGCATGCACAACAGCTGCAAGCTCTAAATCATGCGTAGGATAGTTAACCTCATGCTTCCTCAACTGACGTGAGGCATACGCAATAACTCTCCCATCTTGCATCAGGACACATCCTAAACCATTCTTTGATGCATCGCAAAACACATCAAACGGCTTCTCTATATCTGGTTGCGCCAGAACAGGAGCAGTGGTTAGCAATTTC